ATTAAATGCTTAACTCAAAAGTCACTGAAATTTGGAGCTGTATCCAAGGTTCTTCAGTTTACACCTGTTACGAAAGGCCATATAACTGAAGTCTCATATTTAACTTTCTGGGCAACCCAGACTGATTTGGATCTGAACCACTAACAAATATCAGCCATGTAAATGCAGCTGTGTGACACGTTTCCTCTATTTGCATGTATTGCACATAATCACTCTGTGCTTATAATGACCACAGCCTCAGCCTCTGTAGGTTGGTGCATCTCCATTATGCCAAAGCACTACATGTCATGTTCTTACGTCTTCTCCTAGAACAGGGCAAACATGTTTAATCAGGTTAATGAACTGGGTAAAATGCATGCTCCAAGTTTTCACTGACTCTCTCCTATGTGTAGTGAAAGATAGTTTCACAGAAGCAGCTGGGAAGAGTGGTGAAAGACCAGAGAAGAGCAACTTTCCACTGGAACCTAAGTGTCCCCTGCATGTGGTGTCATTTGCTGTGGCCACTGCTGCAAACTAGACAGCTCAGCCACTTTGATGAGGGTTACCCTTGTCCTGAGAACTGAGGTCACTAGTATAGAGGGCTAACTCTGCCTTGCACTGGCAAGGCACTGATTTACAAATGATAGGAGAAGTGAGCTGTGCTGGGCTGCTGGAACAAGCAGCAGCTTTGTACTGAACTGGAACTGCTTATGAAGTGTGACTACTTCTAGGCTGCTTTTTCTTATGACCCTACGAGTGCTTTGAGAGCTCCCAGTTAAAAACAAACTTCCTGCCTTTTACTTACCAAGCCTGGAAAGTCAAGAGAAAAGTTTCTGTCAGAGGTAAAACTCTTGGAAAGACTTAATCTGTCTTGCCCTGTACCGCTACCTTCATATGTAGTTTTTTTATTATCACTCCATAGTTTCCAAGCTTCTAAATCCTGTGGGTCAGATGCTGAGCTAGAGCAGGCAGATACAGCCAACCCTTCAGAAAATGATTGTGAGTGCTAGGCTAACAGCTGGATGTTATCAGAAGTCTGACAAGTTGAGCATCAGCCCTTAACACTGAAATACTTACAGGATTAAGAGCTAACAACTTTCTTTTCCCTCTTGGCAAGACATTTATTTCTCCATAGCAGGTGTTCTTTTGTTCACATTCTGCTTACTTTGTTTAATATACAGGTAGTAAGTACAATGCTTGCATAAAATAACCTAGTGCTAACAGTCATTTTCTGAAGAGCTGTATTAATAGGTACTCAAATGAAAAGTACTCAAATGATGGCAGCTCTGTATCCCCTTGTTCCTTCCCTTGGCTGCATATTTGGGATATGCATACTGTGCCACATGATAATGTTAAGTCCTGGAAAATGTGTTGGGTAAGGTTCCTGAAAATCACTGGAGTATCTTTTAAAGGAAAGCCCCCCTCTTGAGTAACTTTTTTCAAAAGCACTGCAGACAAGCTTGGCTTTTATCAGTAATAAAAGACTTGCCTGTATTACTGTTATTAAGATTTTATGTAGATGAGCACTAAACCAAAGAAACTGGGTTTTGAAAAGTAGAAAAAACAAGCTGGGCAGTGTTTGAGAGAAGGACTGGCTAACATGGGATTTCACTATCAGATAACACTGACACGATCTCTTTAAATTAAGCCTTAGTAAATGCAGGATTAGGCCCCAGAGACAAACACAGAAGCCATGAGATTTGGAAATTCAAAACCAGAATGACTTCTTGAATACACATGAAGACTTTTTGCTAAATTTGTGCAAAGTGTGTTTGCAGAAGTCTGAATATTCCTACAAACTAGCTACGAATGTTATTATAACCTTAAAACAACAGAGAATAAAAATAAAGCTAGTGTATACAGCTGATTAATGAATGGTACCTATGTTCTGGAGCACCACAAGTAGAATCACCAATCACAGAATCACAGAATGGTTTGGGTTGGAATGGACCTTAAAGCTCATCCAGGTCCAACCCCCCTGCCATGGGCAGGGACACCTCCCATGAAGCAGGGTTGCTCAAAGCCCCGTCCAACCTGGCCTTTAACACCAAATCACACAACCTGTAAATGTGCTGTTGAGTTTGGTGGGATCAGATTTTTCAAGCATTACTCAAGAGTTTTATGATCAGACCCTGCAAACACTTAGGCACGCATTTAAAATTAATCCTTTTTATCATGGCTTCTGTCCATGAGCAGCTTGTGTGTGCACCTCTGGAGCTGTTAAACTTTCACCATTATTATGGCTTCTCTAATTTTTACCACACAGCACCCACCCTGTGCTGTTGGCAGGGATCTTTAGGTGACAGGACAAGCCGTATCACTAACTCCTGTGAAGAAACTGTGAACCACAGAGGCATCCAAGGACCACAGCCCTTGCCAGTACCTCCATGTACACAGCCTCCATGCCTTCTGGGTTTGGCTGTTCACGTAATAATGCTAGAAAGGACAAGCAGCTCCTGGATGGATGTCAGACACTGGCACACAGTCAGCCCGATGATTTCACAGCAGAGCTTCTGCTGCTGGCCCTGTTTTTAAAAAAAACTGGGTAATTCTTGGACCAACTTCCTGCAGTGCTGAGCAAATCCAGTATGCTGGAGATTCCACTCTGCTCAACTGACTTCAGGGAACTCTGCTGTCTCTTTATAGTTCTGCAGAGTAAAGAGCAATTCATACGATTGAACTTTGTGCCCTGAGTTATATACTGATCTCCTGTGGCCATCAGGATGGAATTTCAGGATCAGACAGATGAACTAATATTTTTCCCTTAACTTTTGCCTCAAATACCACCTGTCGGTTGCTGCCAACAGCAGGATCATGGACCAGATGGATCTGTGGTGCAATACATGTGCAACTACTGTATCTCCGGGTTGTAGCAAGCCAAAAATGATGTAAGTCTTGATTTTTGTATAACCAAATTAAAGACTAAGTAATAGAAAATGAATAGTAAGCACAGAACAAAGACAAGGAAAGTAGCCACACAAGGTCTGAATCAATCCATTCTTCCATGAATAAACAGAACAACAAACTTGGATATACGTGACGTGTGAATGTTATACACAGATCTCTAAGTAATGTATTTGATTCTTTCTCACAAATGCTGATATGAAAAAAATTCAGTTAACTTGATCTGAACGGTCATATAAGCAGAAGAATTACAAGGAGCAGTGTTAAGCAGCTGGGAGCAGGTGCCTAGGGAGATATACAGGGTAAGGTAAGTAGAGCCAGACTTAATATCTTTATTATTAATGACTTGGAATAGGGAGTATAAATAGTATGTTAATGAAATCTGCAGATGGTAACAATGGGAACTGCTGCAACACCAATGAAGACAAAGAAACAGCATGAGGTATCACAGACATTAAAATTCAAGGCAAGAACAAAAAAGACCCTTTATGCACACAGCAGAAATCAATTGCACTGTAACTCTTTAGGGGCAGAAAACAAGTTGGAGAGCAGGATGTCTGTGAGATGCTGAAACGGGGCAGGCAAGATCTTGGCACAGGTTTCACATAGTCAAACTCATGATTTGAGGATGTTAACCCGACAGTTATCCACTGGCAGGATGTAACGTGCCACTACTTGCAATCTTTAATGGAGAGTTGTGTATCCTTTTTATAGGCAGGCAGTAGCTCTCACTGGGTTTGGGAGCTTGCTTCCAGGGTGAAGGGGTGGAACACCACAGGTCAGATGAGATGTTCATGTTGCTTTTACCTGGCTTCAAAATCTATGAAACAGCAAGTTGTAATAGCAAATGCACATTACCCTTCATAATGAGCAATTTTATGAAAGTTTTACACTGTTATTATGCATCTTGCCTGTCTGTTGCTGTCCCATTGCACACTACTGATACAGTAAAAAATCAATCAAGAAAAAAGCTGTAAATGAGATCTGTTCACTAGACAGTTTACTCAGGCCTCTTCATCCTACAGAAATAATTTTTCCCCTAAATGTAATTTTAGATTTTGCCTTTAATGATGTAGTAACTTTTTGCACTACCTTTTAAAATTTCTGCTTGGAGATGTCACCAAGACACGTGTATGTGAATGGTTTGTGCTCTGTTTGAAAACATTCTGATGAAAAGAACAGTGATTCAAAGTTTTTTAATGAACTTTCTGTGAGCCAGGCTCCAAATAGCACCTGGTTCTCAGTTAAGAAGCAAGCCTCTGCGGAGCTCCCACTGAAAATTAAGTACCTGCCCAACAAGATGTGTGCACGGCAGGCACTGGTATAGACCAGGAGAACAATTGTCTGATAGCACTAGTATTTGGCAAGACCAACATAGCAAATAACTGAGCCTAACAGTAGGTGTTCCATTCATCATACTTGCTTGTTGTACACTTAGGTAGCTTAGAAACCCTCAGTCTGCTTACAAAAAATGTATTACTAAAAATACTATTTCTAAAAATACTTAGTTTATGAAAGGCTTATTGAGCAAATAAACCATTTTTCTCTCAGTAAGATTACTTCTTAAGCTAAAAGTGGGCAAAACCCATGCCACAAAATAAATGTTTACTGGAGATCACTAACAAGGAGATATTTAAGTTTGATGAATACACAGTAACTGCATCAAGGTATATACAAAAGATAATACACATAAAGCAGCAAGGAAGTCAGTTCCTTTTATGTTTGTACATTTTTTTAGCTTCCTGTTGTCTGCAGAGTCTTTATAGAAAGCTGAAAACAGAAAACCCAATTCTGCCAGTGGTGTTCAGACAGAACTACCAGCAGACTTGATAGTGAGAATGTGATCACACCCTGCATTTAGTGTGCTAAACCAATTATTTCCAAGCTTTTCCAGAGTTCCCTATGTAAGTGCAGACCCTTGTGTTGTGTATTAACCAGCCTAATAACAGATAATGTGCTCTGTTGTGTATTAACCAGCCTAGTAACAGATCTGCCTTATTTAGTTGTTTTTATGCCCCCTTAAAAACAGCCTGTCAGCCCCTGGGGAGGGGAGGCAGGTTTCCAAAGTGTAGGCTGAAAGAGCTGATGTAGAGAATTGCAGTGCTTATTCCTGCCTATCCCACAGCAAAGCGAACAGCAAGCCCTTAGGTGTGTCTGTGGCGGGTAAGTGAAGACACGGTTCTGCTGGTATGTAACAACACACACATTGTACTCGGATATACTTTAGAAACCAGCACCGTGTCTGGAATCACATCTCGTGAAAAGCAACCGAGTCCTCTGGGGTGCTATGGAGCCAGGAGCGCTTTCTTGGTGATGGTCCTTTGCTGAGGGTCTTGTGAGTGCACTTCACATACGACAGTTTGCCATAAGTGACTTTCTGAGGGGCGGTGTGCTCTCCCGGGTGTGTGCGCGCCCCATCTCTCACCTTGCTCCACCTCGGTCGCTTCTCTTTCTGCCCCTTAACTGCATTCCCCACACAAGTTTTTACACATTGACGTTAGCTCTGCCTGTCAGGACGCCCGCTGTAACGCCTTTCCCCCCGGCTGCTGCCCGCTGCGGCAGTCTCCCCCAGGACCGGCGCCTCCCGGGCACCGCGCGGGGAAGGGCGGCACGGGGCGCCCCGCACAGCACACCCGGCTCTCCTCAGCCCGCGGGGACCCGACACCGCTTCGCCCCCTGACGTGGCTGCACCTCCTCCCTCCTTCCTTCCCCCGGTGTCTCGCAGTCACCTGTAAGCCCAGGGCGAGGCGCTTCGCAGGTTGACGGGGAGCCGGAACCTCTTGTCGCCAGCGTGCCGGGTCCCGGCGGGACAGCTGGCGTTGTGCGGGCGGCCCGCGGGCTCGGGCTGCAGGGTGTGGTGGAAGGCGCTGAGCATGCCGGCCGCCAGCCGCCCATACAGCTGCTCCAGCAGCTCTTCGGGCCGCTCGCCGCAGGTCCGGGTCCGCGTCGGCCGCTTGTGCGCCTTGACGGCCTCCGGGCGGAGCGGGAGCAGAGCTGCGCACAGCAGCGCCGCCAGCACCTGCAACGACGCCGCCGTCAGCGGGGAAGGGACCGGGCGCCCCCAGAAGTACCCCGCAGTCCCCCGCCCGCTGTCAGGGCGCTTTCCCGGGCCGCCCTGCCCGGCCCCAGCCCGCAGCCCCTTACCCTGCCTCGCTGCATGGCGGTCAGGTTGCCTGAGGAAGCCGAGGAGAGCAGCGGGCTGCGGAGGAGAGCAGCGGGCTGCGGAGCCGCGCCGTGCCGTGCCACTGGTTCTCTCGGCGGAGGAGCTGTTGGAAAAGTGCCCCGCTTCTCACTGCATCTCCCCTGGCCTCGCATGCCAGGAACATTTTAGGCGCTCACGCAGGAGGAGAGCGCTCGGCGCTGAGCTGGCCGGTCCCGCACTCGCACGGTCCCACCACCCTGCCCCCCGCCGCTAGGACGGACCGCGGGCACGGGACGGCTCGGTCCCACACCAGGCGCTCTCCTGCCCCGCGGAGCCACCCGCCCGGCCCTCCCTGCGGGTTTGCGGCTGCCGGGGCTTTGTCAGGAAGCGGGCGCTCCCTTTCACGGCATCCGTGGGTCGGAGACGAGCCGTGTCGAGTGGGACTCACGGGGCTAGGGCACGGGATTGAGGCAAAGCCTCCCCGTCGGAGCTAAAGTGTCAAGGATGATGAGGGAAAAACGATGTGATTTACAGCTGAAAACAGCATAACTGTGGCTGTGTAACTGCAGCTGAGGAGGGAACTGCTACAGTCCGGGCTCTTTCGATCACTGTGGAGAAACTGGCACTGTCCCTTGTAGGGGGTTGGGATCACAGACCAGGTAGCACCTCTGGTCTGGTTCTCCAGAAACAGCCCTGCTGTGTTGTTTCTCCAGTAGACACAGAGGTGGTTGAAGTTCCATAGGAAGACACAGGCTGGTGAACATGAGGTGGCTTCCAGCTGCCTGTAGAAGGCCCTATGCACTCGTTATTCCTGCTGAGGTGGCCTACCACAGGCACCCACTGCAGTGTCACTCTGCTGCCTAAAAATAAAGTCTACTTTAGAGCAAGAGAAACTTGTACATATCTAAATGAAACTGACGTCTCAATTCTGATGACTGCTCCATCCATTCTGTGCTGGTTTACTGGCACTTTTAACAGACACATAATGCAATATATTCAGGGTCTATGACGCAACCCACAAAAATAAGCATCTGTAGTACTCTGCGCCATAAAAGATGTGCCTCACTGAAACTGTTTGCACTACAACCAGGCTTTATCACTTGAATCAAATATTTTACAGAAGCACAGAATAGTTTTGGTTGGAAGGGACCTTAAAGCTCATCCAGTTCCAGCCCCCTGCCATGGGCAGGGACACCTTCCACTAGAGCGGGTTGTTCAAAGCCCCATCCAGGGGCAGCCACAGCTTCTCTGTGCAACGTGTGCCAGTGCCTCACCACCCTACCAGGAAGAACTTCTTTGTATCTAAACTAAATGCCTCAAGAGACAAGCCCTGCATGTCCATTGAGGCATTTAGTATAAGGATAGTTAAATATGAAAATACTAGTCAGGAATAAGGGGGAAATAGCTTCATAAGTCATACAAGGACTGTGAAACCCCAGCTTGGTACCACAGAAATAGAGGACATCAGTTTCACAGACCAGGCTGGAATTAAAACAGAATGACCTGGTATTCACCATGTGATGAACTGACATGATTTCATGATTTCTGAAAAGTGATTAAGTTGAATCTAACTGTGATTTTTAGTGGGTTTGGTACCTTATTCATCACAAGTCAGTATCACTCATGAGCAGTATCTTAAACTTGAACTGTATGGGATTCGAATCAGGTTTCAACTCTGAGGAAGGATTTTGTTTAAAATTGAATTCGGAACTCTCCTTTGCAGTTGTATTCTCAGGCTGGGGCAAGGTGGTTGTCCATTTAGCTCAGTCCAGGCTCACCCCTGAGCTCTGCGCTACATCTGGTCATGTATTACTTCAACACCTTAAAGTGATATATGTGGCAACATGACTAATATTTATCATGACAGATCTTTTTATATTACTCTTCCTATGATATCTTTCCTTAGTGCTTTCAGAGTACCGTGAGGATGTCACACTTGGCTTTGCAAAACATGACTTTTATGAACTTCCTTCATATGCATGGACATTACTGGGAGTGGTCCACCTCAAAAAATCACATCAGAAGGAAACAGTGGCACAGACATCGAATTGTCAGTGAGTTTAAGGCTTTGAGCCTCATCTAGACAACATTCTCATTCTATACATTAGTCGCATCATATTGTCTGATTAGCTATCTCATGGATTCAAATAACAATAAGAATCACAGAAGGGCAGCAAAGATTCCATTACATGGGAGTTGAAAGAGAGCTATGCCAGTTCTCACGGCAAAGACATCTGAATCATAAAAAATACAGTTTTACACTTTGGCAAAACATAGGTTCTTCCATGGCTTGAGAAGTTACTATGATATTACTAAAGTACCAGTATCATTGTCATTGACTTTGATTTATAAATTTCTCAGAATTAGAGGGGGTTTAAAATACCTGTATAATGAAATACTGGGGAAAAAAATATTTCATAATAAAAAGTCTGTCCTGGATTTGATGTAATATATTATAGTATTCCAATCAATAAATTCAGAATAGCAGCCATATGTACCTTTATGTGAATCTAAAGGGAATTTCTCTTTCTAAGAGAAAACAGACAAGCCAATGAGATATTTTCCTTTGATGGCCTCATGTGAAAATTCCCAGTGACAGAGCACAGAACACCCCTCCTGGGCCCTTGACAACAGCTGACCTGGTGGTGAGGTCCGCATGGAGCCCACAGACTGTGTCATGCCTCATCCTGCTCACCAAAGGACGTAAGTCTTTGCTATTTTGTAATGGCACCGAGTGCCATTTTGTAAAATGTGACCCACTCATTTTCATGTGCTCTGTGATTGGCTTATGGCCGTTTCTTCACACCAGCCATCCATCCCTTCATGCCAGCCCTACAGGGACCTCAGAGCAGGAAGCCCCTCCCACAACAGGGACCACCATGTTGTTTCAGGTGCGAGTTTACGGCAGGTAGTCGCCATTTCTGACAGCAGGAATGTAGTCCTTCCCAGACACCAACAAGCAACCTTGTCAGGACTTTCTCTTGGTTGGGGTTGTTGTCTTCCACAGCTGCCCTGGCATGACAGCCAGTTCCAGATACTATGGTTCACACATAAATAAAGCACATTATCGTGACAAGCATTATGAATGACGCCACAGTAATGTGCTTGTCACAGCAATGATACTATTGCCCTAAACTGGCGTATTCCAAATGTTCATCCCCATCCTGCTACAGCAGCATGTACATTAATGAGAACCCATCTCTATTGCAAAAGATGATGTGAAAAACATTTAAAAATCATTGTATAGACCTTCAGGATGAACAACTCATATTGTTGTATGAAACAAACATTCAGTTGGCATCACCAGCAGGTATAAATCTTCAGGCAGAGAATTAAATTACTTCCCAAAGATGTCCTTCTCCCTCACATTCTGTTTGCAGATAACCTGTCACCCAAACTGCTGATTCTGTTCCCATTCCCTCTCCCTGCATTTGTGAGCATTGTACTGTTTTTTTTTGCAGTGGAAGCACATAGCAGCTTCCACAGCATAGCATCTTTTACAGCATGACCTCAGCATATTTTACAGCTTTTAGGCCATTTAGCTTTGCAAAATTGAATTCTTGCAAAGTGGAGAGTCCTTAATGACCTTCACTTTGCAAAGGAGGAAACTGAGGAGCAAACAGGTTAAAACCAGCCTTCCCATTGAAAAGTTAAGCATCTGAGCCTTGGAAATCAAGACCAATCAAATCTTAGGAAATTAGATAAATTTCTTATGGCCTCATACTACACTTTCAAAGGAACCAAGAAAAGAAACAGTCTGTCGCAAGACTCTCAGAACTACTTACCGTTTCTTTGTACAGCTTTCAATTTCCATGTTACTCTACAATAGCTTTATTTTGGAAGTAATGAGTTATGCAGTGTGTAGTGAAGGATGTTTAGTGTGAAACATGCAATGTGTGAATAAGAATGCTTTGATACTAGGGAGTTAGCCTTGTTTAGAAATAAACAAACTACTACCCAGGTAGTCAGTTAAATTTGGCTACTTATGCTGGCAAGTTGGTCATCACCAGGGTAACCAACTAGCCTCCAAAGCTGCTGCTCTAAGAGGTTATTCTCAAAGGAATTATTCCCCCATCCACTTTTGAAGCAGTAATAGACACAGAAAACTCTAGAGAGAATCAAGACAAATGTCTGTGTCAAGGGATAGAATTGCCGGGATTACTTTCCACCTTTATCCAAGGAAACTGAATTTCTCTCTGTTTTGTAAAATGACAGGGACTCATAGGGTCATGACTGTACAAAGAGACATTTTTCATACATGTGAAGAGAAAGATTCCTTTGCATCTAACTGAATCCAGTGCATGCTGGAGAAGACTTACAGAATATCCCAGGTCTGAGAGATTAACTGAGGACTGTTTAATATTGTGACTGATACATTTTTCATAATACAATCTAAAATAGCTCATGAGTCAGTTCCTCAAGAGCATTAGCATTTTCCTAGGTTTAATACTGCTTCCCTCCAAGATAAAAATACAAACAAACTAATATAATAGCAGTCCTGTTGCATTTGCCAACACTTTATTCAGGAATTTTAATATTAATTCCAGAATGATAAACACAAAATCAGGGCTTAAATGGTGCTGGAAACACATACCTGCAGTGTGGCTTCTGGAGATGGACAACCAAACCTAACTAATTACAATTCTCCTTGAATATCTGGGATGAAGGTAGAATTACTTAGCTCACACAGTGTTTCCATTCCTGTGGTTTCTGAGACCCATCGCAGGACTGCAGGTATCCTACATGGCAGGAGAGAACACAATGCACGTAACAAAGCTAAATGCCAAGCAAGCTACCCCCAGGATGGGGGCAGAGCCATCTCATCAACATAGTGCAATCATCATGTGTAACCCAGGTCATTTTTTTGGACACAGCACCCCACTGGCATGGCCACAATTCTCTGAGGCCTGAGCTCCCAGAATCATGCACACTATCTGGAGCTCAGATAGTCTTTTCGTCAATTCTCCAGGATACAGGGGAGGACCTAAAAAAAGCTAGGAGGATTGGCCAGGTTAATAAATGGTTAAAAGGGTGGTGTCACAGTCAGGGTGTCTTGAACACGGGACCCAAGTTTCTAGGCCAGGTCTACTGGGGGCTGGTGGAGGTGGTTTTGGTAGGAGGCTTGCCAGACTGGTCAAGAAGGCATTAAACTAGATGTGTGGGGGGAGGGGGCATCATTTCATCCCAACACACCCAGTCAGTTGCCAGAACCTATAATAAATGCTTGGAGCAATGCAGATATATTCCAGCTGCTCCAGCCAATGAGCCAGCTTCATTTGGAGCTCAGCTCAGATGCCCCTATACAAATGCCCATAGCATGGGGAACAAACAAGAGGAATTAGAGATGTGTGCATGTCTACAGGGGTATGATATAATAGGCATCACAGAAACATGGTGGGATGGCTCCTATGATGGAGTGTTGGAATGGAAGGTTACAGGCTCTTTAGAAAAGACAGGCCTGGCAGGCAGGGAGGGGGAGTTGCCCTTTATGTTAGGGATAGGCTGGAGAGTATGGCACTCTGTCTGGGGACAGGTGAGCAGTCAATAGAGAGTTTGTGGGTCAGGGTTAAAGGGAATATAGCTATGGGAGACATTACTGTGGGGATCTGTTACAGACCACCTGATCAAGGAGAACCTGCAGATGAAGCACTCCATAGACTGATAGGAAAAGCCTCACACTCACAGGCCCTTGTTCTCATGGGTGACTTCAACCACCCTGACATCTGTTGGAAGGACGGTACGGCCCGGCACAAGCAATCCAGGAGGTTCCTCTATTGTGTAGAAGACAACTTCCTCCTGCAAGTAATAGAGGAGCCGACAAGGAGAGGTGCCATGCTTGACCTCGTGCTCACCAACAGGAAAGGGCTCGTTGGAAATGTGACGCTCCAGGGCAGCCTTGGATGCAGCGATCACGAGATGGTCGAATTTGAGATCCTCAGGACAGTGAGAAGAGCGTGCAGCAAGTTCACTGCCCTGGACTTCAAGAGAGCAGACTTTGGCCTCTTCAGGAACCTGCTTAGTAAGGTTCCATGGGATATAGCCCTAGAGGGCAGGGGGGCCCAAGACTCTTGGTTGATATTCAAGGATCACCTGCTCCAAGCTCAGGAGTGTCGCATCGCAACCAGAAGGAAGTGCAGCAGGAGGGCCAGGAGACCTCCTTGGATGGATAAGGAGCTGCTGAGGAAAATTCAATTGAAAAAAGAGGCTTATAATAAGTGGAAGCAAGGACAGGCGGCCTGGGAAGGGTACAGGGATGTTGTCTGGGAAACTAGGGACCAGGTTAGGAAAGCTAAGGCCCAGTTAGAATTAAACTTGGCTGGGGATGTTAAAGATAACAAGAAGGGATTCTATAGGTACGCAGCAAATAAAAAACAGACTAAGGACAACGTAGGCCCCTCCGGAAGCTCTCGGGAGAACTGGCTACACAGGATTTGGAGAAGGCTGAGGTTCTGAATGACTTCTTTGCCTCAGTCTTCACTGGCAAAGGCTCTGACCACACCACCCAAGTCTTGGAAGGCAGACACAGGGACTGTGAGAATGAAGACCTTGCACCCACTGTAGGAGAGGATCTGGTTTGAGACCATCTTAAAAAACCAGAACGTGCACAAGCCCATGGGACCTGATGAAATCCATCCGCAGGTCCTGAAGGAGCTGGCAAATGAAGTTGCTAAGCCACTGTCCATCATATTTGAGAAATCATGGCAGTCAGGTGAAGTTCCCAACGACTGGAAAAAGGGAAATATAACCCCCATTTTCAAGAAAGGGAAAATGGATGACCTGGGGAACTACAGACCAGTCAGTCTCACCTCTGTGCCTGGCAAAATCTTGGAGCAGATTCTCCTGGAAGGCATGCTAAGGCACATGAAAAACAACAAGGTGCTTGGTGACAGCCAGCATGGCTTCACTAAGAGGAAATCCTGCCTGACCAATTTGGTGGCCTTCTATGATGGGGCTACAGAACTGATGGACAGGGGTAGAGCAGTTGATGTCATCTACCTGGACTTGTGCAAAGCATTCAACACTGTCCCACACGATATCCTTGTCTCTAAATTAGAGAGACATCAATTTGATGAATGGACCACTCGGTGGATAAAGAACTGGCTGGATGGCTGCACACAAAGAGTTGTGGTCAATGGCTCAGTGTCCATCTGGAGACCAGTAACGAGTGGTGTCCCTCAGGGATCGGTGTTGGGAGCAGTCTTGCTCAACATCTTCATTGCTGACATGGACAGTGGGATTGAGTGTGCCTTCAGCAAGTTTGCTGATGACACCAAGCTGTGTGGTTGATACGGTGGAGGGAAGTAATGCCATCCAGAGAGACCTCAACACGCTTGTAGCTGATGCCAACCTCATGAAGTTTAACCATGCCAAGTGCAAGGTCCTACACCTGGGGCGGAGCAATCCCAGGCACAGCTACAGGCTGGGCAGAGAAGAGATTCAGAGCAGCCCTGTGGAGAAGTACTCGGGTTGCTGGTCAATGAGAAAATGAATATGAGCCAGCAGTGTGCGCTTGCAGCTGAGAAAGCCAACCATATCCTGGGCTGCATCAAAAGGAGTGTGACCAGCAGATCGAAGGAGGTGATCCTGCCCCTCTGCTCTGCTCTTGTGAGATCTCACCTGGAGTATTGTGTGCAGTTCTGGTGTCCTCAACATAAAAAGGACATGGAACTGTTGGAACAAGTCCAGAGAAAGGCTACAAGGATGATCAGGGGACTGGAGCACCTCCCATATGAAGATAGGCTGAGAAAGTTGGGGCTGTTCATCCTGGAGAAGAGAAGGCTGTGTGGAGACCTCATAGCAGCCTTCCAGTATCTGAAGGGGGCCCTATAGGGATGCTGAGGAGGGACTCTTCATTAGGGACTGTAGTGATAGGACAAGGGGTAATGGATTAAAACTTAAACAGGGGAAGTTTAGATTGGATATAAGGAAGAAATTCTTTACTGTTAGGGTGGTGAGGCACTGGAATGGGTTGCCCAGGGAGGTTGTGAATGCTCCATCCCTGGCAGTGTTCAAGGTCGGGTTGGGTGAACCCTTGAGTGAGATGGTTTAGTGTGAGGTATCCCTGCCCATGGCAGGGGGGGTGGAACTAAATGATCTTAAGGTCCTTTCCAACCCTAAATATTCTCTGATTCTATGCAGATGTATTCAGTTACTAAAAAACCTTGAAGCCCTGCAACAACGTGTTGATGTGGCACTTTGGACATGCACACAGCTTCTTTCTCCTTAAGAGGTTTCAGTTGTATTAGTCCTCATCAGAGATCACTCTCCAGCCTCGAGTACAGGTGGGATGTCACATCCCATGTTCTTTCACACAGAAGGTCTCACACAGCAGAAGGAGGAGGCTGTACTGAAGCTGCTTATGAAGAATGGTTCCTGGCCCAGATGAATCTTTGGGTCATGCAAGGGAGTTGCCTGGGAGACTGCTAATAGTCACAGGCCAAAATTGTACTGGGGAGTGTGCTACAGGTTTTACAGTATGGATGGTTACACATTGGCTCCTCTGCTCTGGGCCTGCCCTGGCAGTTTTGGAACTGTAGTAGAGATGCAGCCATAGTAAACATGGTTTTGAAGGAGATGAACTTGGACTAAATCATTTAGACTGTCAGCAGGTCTTATCATGCCAGTGTTGGAGCTGGACCACATGGCTTTCTGTCAGTTTAGAACAAGCTCAACTGTGCCTACAAAATAACGTGCAAGTAAATCATAACCCAGAGCATGATATAATCAGATCCTCATGCTATGGGAAACGGCATGCTCCAGAAGTTCCTAAGAGTTTGTGCAGGAGTGGAATAAAAGTGCAATTCTGTTTGTAAAACACAGAATTTTATATAATATACAGTTAGGCTTCTAGGCAAACACAACCAAAAAACTGCTGCTGATCAGTATCTCCATGATAGTCTGTAGAAACACTCCTATAGGCAAGTCATAAACCAAATACAATCATAGAATAGTTAGGGTTGGAGAGGACCTTAAGATCATCCAGTTCCAGCCCCCCTGCCATGGGCAGGGACACCTCACACTAAACCATATCACCCAAGGACTCGTCCAACCTGGCCTTGAACACTGCCAGGGATGGAGCATTCACAACCTCCCTGGGCAACCCATTCCAGTGCCTCACCACCCTAACAGGAAAGAATTTCCTCCTTATATCCAATCTAAACTTCCCCTCTTTAAGTTTTAACCTGTTACCCCTTGTCCTGTCACTACAGTTCCTAATGAAGAGTCCCTCCCCAGCATCCCTATAGGCCCCCTTCAGATACTGGAAGGCTGCTATGAGGGGTGCATGCAGCCTTCTCCAGGCTGAACAGCCCCAACTTTCTCAGCCTTTCATATGGGAGGTGCTCCAGCCCCTTGATCATCCTCACAGCCCTCCTCTGGACTTGTTCCAACCTTTTTATGTTGAGGACACCAGAACTGTACACAATACTCCAAGTGAGGTTTCACAAGAGTAGAGGGGCAGGATCACCTCCTTCGACCTGCTGGTCATGCTCCTTTTGATGCAGCCCAGGATATTGTTGGCTTTCTGGGCTGTGAGTGCACACTGCCGGCCCATGTTCATTTTCTCATCAACCAACACCCCCAAGTTCTTCTCCACAGGGCTGCTCTGAATCTCTTCTCTGCCCAGCCTGTAGCTGTGCCTGGATTGCCCCAACACAAATTCATAATTCATACCACTGAATGGATGTGTCTGTACGACTGCCATGTTTTGTTAGGTGCTCTACTCAATGGGTTATGTGTCAGAAGACCATGACAGTATCATGCCTGTCCTCCTTTGTGCTATTTCACAGGTTTATCTGTGCTCCCTGCCATGGTCCCAGATACTTCCTCCTACTGTGATTAGTCAGATACCTTGCTCCACTGCAGTCAATAGCTGAAAGTGCTCCCTCCTGCTTGGCACATTGCATCCTGGAGGTCCAGGTCTTCCGAGACTGAAAGCCTGACAGAAAAGAACTACCATGATATCCAGAAACATGTCATGCCATGACCAGAGCAGCACACAGGGCAGCACTGAAGAATGGGCAAGAGAAAGCTGGGTCTGAAGTGTAACCACAAGGTTGTCTGCCTGAGTTCTTGAAGAGTTGGCAGCTTGTCTGCCTTTCCATCTCCCCTCCTTTGCCTTTCTGGCTGACATTTCACTGAAAATATTCAAAACACACGCTGTTGTACACGGTGTCGGTGTTTTGGCAGTGGTGGGGCTGCAGCGGTAGCCTCAGTGAGGAGAGGTCATGACTGGCCAGTGCCAAAGACAGCAAGTTCTTGTCAGTTCTGCAGTGGATCCAGAATATACCCAGCTGACAACAGCACCCGGAGTCTGTGTTGAGAGGTGTGCACTGGGCTTGGGCTACTGTCAAGGGTAGGAAAAAAGTAAAATGGCAAAATGTGCAGTGAAACTGGGGACTCACCGGAGAAAAGAGAGGCAATGCATTTCTGTATTTCTCATTCTAAAAAGACACAGCAGGTCTCCTCAGCTGAGTTGAACAGAGTCATAAAGCTAGAGGCTGCTCTGGCCAGGCACGTCAGTGATGCAGGGTGGTATTCAAGCTCTTCAGCTGCATGATGAATGTGCTCTGCGTACACCACCAAGCAGAAGCTGGTGCAGTCCTAGACCGAGTGCTGCACCAGTATCATGTGAAACACATTACATATAAAGCAGTTTATTAACTGTACCAAAACCCCCACAGAACTACATTCCTACAACGTGCCATTACAGAAGTAGTTCTGACCACCTGCAGAGACATCTTAGAAGACCACGCAGATGCTTTTAAAACCTGAAAAGAACATTTCATGAAGGTACAAAGAGAACTTTCCAGTGTCACTAGCTGGGAAACAGTCTAAGCACCAGCACTGAGAACGAGCATTGGATATCTCAGACGACTGAATCCTTAACATTTCAAAGCATAGAATGATAGAATAGTTAGGGTTGGAAAGGACCTTAAGATATCTAGTTCCAACACCCCTGCCATGGGTAGGGACACCTCACACTAAACCATGCCACCCAAGACTCCATCCAACTTGGCCCTGAACACCGCCAGGGATGTAGCATTCACAACCTCCCTGGGCAACCCATTCCAGTGCCTCACCACCCTTACAGTAAAGAATTTCCGCCTTATATCCAATCTAAACTTCCCCTGTTTAAGTTTTAACCCATTACCCCTTATCCTATCACTACAGTCCCTAATAAAGAGTCCCTTCCTGGCATCCTTATAGGCCCCCTTCAGATACTGGAAGGCTGCTATGAGGTCTCCACGCAGCCTTCTCTTCTCCAGGCTGAACAGCCCCAACCTTCTCAGCCTATTTTTATATGGGAGGTGCTCCAGTCCCCTGATCATCCATGTGGCCCTCCTCTGGACTTGTTCCAACAGTTCCATGTCTTTTTTATTTTGAGGACACCAGAACTGTACACAATACTCCAAGTGAGGTTAAACAAAGTCTTAACTATTGCACCAAACTCCCAAAAGTGTTTTAAAAACAAGTCCCTGCCAACCCAGCATACCTGCTTGGCAAATAATTATTAAGAAATTCTGAACACCTGATTAATATTTGTATTTCTGAAAAGTGATATAAATCAGGTATCCCATGTTACTATTTAACATGTCTCAATGACTGCAGATCAAACTTGTTCTGTTCATATGCCACAAATAACGATTTCTGTAACTAACATCTTTGCACATACTCAGCTGAGGCTGTAAAAAGCCTCAGCTACCTCTGTGTAGTCAGGGACACAACCCCCAACCTAAGGTTCACAATCTAATCCAATTGGCAATACTGAACAAACCAGACTGAAATCCTGCCTACTCTGACCACTCAAAATAAATAAAAAATGAAACCTCATCTTTGTAACTGCAAAAATACCCAGGAGGTTGCCATGAGACTGCAAAATGGCCCTAGTTCAGGTAAAGATAGACTAAAATTAAGATGCTTTCTTCAGTGTCAGTATTAAGTGCTTTGCTGAACTGGGGCCTTAAAGATGACCAAGGTCATATCCAAACATTTTCAGAAAGTCAATTCACAAGCCTTAAATAAATTCTGGCTTTGGAAGAAGGATATGGGACTTTCAGCCTTACAACAGTGCTTTGAGGTATTTCACACCAAAAGGTGAAATTTTAGAGGCTGCTGTGTTTCCTGTTATCACTGCACATATCTCTGAAAGCAAAAGCTTTACAAATTTGGTACAGCTTGCAATGAGTAACTGTGTAGTTTCTATGCATGAGTGAAATAACCTCAGCATTATTTAAAAAATAAAAATCAATTATAAAAGATTGCAACTTCAAATCCATGTGTTTAATGTAAGATACCATATACCCAAAGTGTTTCACAAAGATTTTATCAAAATCCAGGTCATAATGGATCAAAGTGTTTTTGCTAAAAAATTTAAAAGGATAAGATGTTGTGAGTGGACCATATGCTACTCTGGAAGCATATCCTCTCCTAGCTCTTCATCAGCAAAGTCATCTTCCTCAGCCCTTTTTCTTGCAGCAGTTTTTGGTCTTTCTGCTTGTGGGCCAAGTGGATCTATGTAGGAGACATCTAGGTTTTAAAAAAATACAGTTGAAGCAGTTACCTACAAGTTAATTTTAGCTTTGTTTCAAACATATATAATCAAACACAAGGGTGGAGTTTAGCATTACACATCTGTAAGATATGTCATTACACATCTTGTCTTTGATATGCAGACCAGAAAGAGGGTATGAACAGAAGAACAAGATACTGCATTCAGGATAACTGGGCAGGCATGCCCCAGGAGCAAAGTACCTGAGTGCTAGTGATAGGAGCTTAAAGATAAAGTTATCTTATTACAGTCATTAAGTGAGAAAAACTTGGGAAAAGTGCATGGAGCAGCAGGACTGATGAGCTGGTTAAGGAAGGCCATTTCAGGAAACATCACGTTCCACATGGATTTGGATTTCTAAACACCTTTGAAAATTCAGTCTTAGTGAAGAACTTCTAACTGCAGAACCACAAGAACTGGCAGCAGATGTATCAAAAGTAGTAAGTATTTACATGGGCCACATTTCTTAATATTTACTATTACTTTATAGTGAGCTCTAAAGAATGAACCTAAAGCCACTCTTCACATTTATTTTACAAGGAAAATGTATTTCTAATTGTCTAATTTTACATGCTCTTCCAATAACTTATTTTTTACATCTCCCCATCTTTAAGGGCCAGTAAAGTAAGAAGGTGTAAGATGTCCACTTACCTATTTCTTTACAGATGCTACTTTCATAGGGTTCACTTGTTTCAGGAAAAGCTTTTAGTCTGGCATTCAGCCTTTCCCCTTTGGTGCCACCATCTGGGAGGGGGGAGAAGTTGAAGACAAATAGCATGCTGTTACATTCTGTGAAATCATGATACAAGGGCAACGTAAATTCAGCTACTATCTGTCAAACAAGATTTGGATGAAACCATCTTTTCATGATGGATACAGTACTTATTTGTAATAGTGGTCATTAAAACACAACGGACACTGTGTCTACACGTGTGTTTTAAAATACATATACATATACAGCCTTATTTACTTTGGAGTACACACATTAAAATATTTCTGCTTCCAATGAGGACATTTCAGTTGCTTATAAATTACGGTCACATTTTGGAGTTAAAATAAGCATGATAAATATAAACACTGTCACAATGTATATGGACATTCCATATATCTGTGTGCTTACTAATATGTTAGTATGATCAACCTGTTGCAAAATGTCAAGATTAAATACAACACTAAGATTGCTTTTAATTAGAAGAGTATATTTGGCACGTGCTGTCTGCATGGCAGGCGGGTACAGTTCATGTACACAGACCATCCTGGCCCTGCATCTTGCTGTAAACACTGTGCTGGCAGCTCAGTTTGCAGCAGGGCCCCAAGGAATGTGTCAGCTCCAAGGGCTGCCTCCTGCCCAGACAATGTCAGACTAACATTCTCTTGCCACAGCAGTATTCCAGACATTTTAAATATTCTGTCCGCCTCTGAATCTCTTTCTTGCATTCATGGCAAGTTTTCAATCTCTTCTGCTACAACAAATTTTAATGCAATTTTTCTCCTACGAGAACACTTTTCACGTTTGGCTTGCTATATTTACAAGGCAGGATATGCCACACAGCCAAATGCAAACACGCTTATTTACAATACGGAACAATGCTATTACTAAAACTCCTCCATCTATATGGAGGAAAAATGGGTTTAATTCAGCAAACATGCATTACAAAGTCTGGACTTGGCGACACACTTCCATTGTCTTGTTTACTATAAATGTTCTTTTTATAAATGCTGTTACTATTAAGAAAAAAAAAAAAGCAAACCAAACCCAAACCCTCTTCCACAAAGACGACAAACCTTTATTTCTCTATAAACATCACTGCAGACTTCAGTTTACTCAGAATTGCAGGACAATGTCTCTGCTCCAAGAAAGATTTAATACAGTCACATGTTAAACACTTAATATGTTTACAAGACACAAATTACAGTCAAAGCGTTGAAGCATGGAAAATCTATTTTAATGTACATCAGCCTCCCTTGGATCAATTCTCACTGATAGGTTTAATAGAAGAAGTGAATGCTTGATGAAGGATTTGAAGGAACTTAAAGAAATCAATGGGTTTGATTGGGAGGGCTCAACAAACAGGTTGTGAAATGACAAAAGGGCTGCGTCTTGATTTCAGTGGGCTTTGGACACCCCTGCACAACATGGAAGTGTGCACTGAGCTTCAAAGATTGTATGGGTGAAAACATTCTGTGGACAGTTTAGAGAAGAATACAAAATGTTTTAACAGGGAGAGAAAGAGTAGGATAGAAGCAGGCACAAACTCTTGTGCAATGGAAAACAAGTAATTTAGAAACTGATGAATAAAGTTGGAAGAAGCAGCAAGGAAATGCAAAGACAGGAGCAATACAGCAGCAACACCACTAGGGGAAGACTGAACTAATGAGATAAACTCCATAGGTTTAGTTGGTTGGTGCCAGAAAGTAAGAACTGGTTTTAATGACAATAAAAGAGGAAGAAGCTGGCGTATCACAGGTTTTCAACTGTGAAGGAGAAAAACACATAGCTTTTAGTGATAGTACCAGAGGAAGGCAAAAGATTTTATATTAACTAAAAGAAGAAAAAAAAAAGTATAGCTGTCAAACCAAAATGGCTGCAACAAACATAACACTGGAAGTTACCTGTACATCTTACTGCCTTAAACCAACTGAAAACAGAAGCATTCTTGGGCATTCTAGGACCTTTAAGTTTTATTAGGACTACATCCAAGATGGGAATGAAGCAGTATGTCCAAAATTTGAAGCTGAATGTCCCCCTCTTTTCTCTCTCCATCTACTGGATGTCCAACCCTTGAAGTATCTAAAACTCACCAACTGCTGTCCCCCCCCACCCCCCACAGCTCTGATGTTTCTTAAGCACTTAGTGCTGTGATTGAGATGCCCAAAACAGCCATCCTGAGCAGCAAGATGCCTGCCTGATGTTCAGCATGTAATCCTGGTGGCCAAGCTTCTCTTTCCATTTATGAGTCAGTACAGTAAATGGAATTGTGAGTGCTGTTACAGTGAATAAATTTAGCTGTTCACACAAATGTAGTTTTTTTAGGTTTCAGACTTTATTCAGTTGCCCAAACACATTATTTACTGTGTTTAATGCACTTAACCAACTCACTGAATGGTTAGATTAAAGCTAGAAGCAGCTCAAGGGAATCAGCAAGAATACATGCCCAGGAATGGGAAAGAAAAGAAATGCTGAGAGGGGCTGGACTGTTCTTCCCTGAAGTTGCAAGTTATTTGATCAGTATATCCCACCTTGACTAAATGCACCATGGAAAAAACTATGAAGAGTAAACGCCCATGGGCACAGTATCCTCTGAACGCTTAAAATATAAGAACATAAGGATACCTTAATAGATTAAAGATCTATCTAAACTGGCTTGTTGTCCATACAAAAGTATGACAAGATGCTCAGGGAAGAGAATCACAAGTAGAGCAAGCATATATAGTAGCTCTCCAAGAATAATTTCCTAGCCTCCCAACAATCTGTAAATCAAGCATATGCTTGGGGGCTGCTCTTCATATTTAATAATGGGTTGATTGATTTATTCTTCAAGAACTTGTTCAGTCTTCCCTTAAGCCCCTGTGAAATTTTTGTATCCAGAACAAACTGAGATAAGGAGTTCCATCTTTCATTTACTCTGAACCTACCAATCTAGCCTCACTTCACCACAGAAAGGAGTACCCTCCCCTTTCTGCCCTGCCGCATGCTGTGTTAAGGGGCAGCAGGCTGTGCTGGAGCAGGTTACTGGCATGTTTAAAACTTACCTAATGAAAACTTTTTTTTTTTTTTTTTAAGGACTCTCACTGTTTGCAATTACAGTGATGGATACTGTATTAGAAATTCCGCCAGTATTACAAAGGACATAAATTAGAATTTTTAGTACCATTTTACTGGTATTAAAGATACCAAAAGGTAAGGTTGTTTGGTAATCTACCTCCTCTGGAAAATGTTTATGCTACAAAGTGCATAGTGGGCTAATGTTTTGAAAGACTACAGGTACTTCACTAAATCCATAATGTGTTTAAATGCAGCTCTGTATATCTTTCATATTTGGGATGAGGACTCCACCTTTGGAGAAGAGGGGGCTTTGGTTTGACCAAAGAGAACAGCAAGTTAAGTGTTAACAGGCAGAATGTGAAAACAGAGAAACAGCCATGGGAAGCAGATGCAAGTTCATTTTGATTTGAAATTCTGTTAAATAAAAATCAACACTGTTTCTGGTATGTCAGTTCAGATAGCTCCTTAGGTGATTTCAGTTGCAGAAAACAGATTTTAGATGTTTTCTTCACTCAGATATTTTCCCTATTTATAAAAAAACTAAATCCTCCCCCCTCTCAGTCAATAGAACCATCCCACAATGATGTGTAAATAATGAAGTGTGAACAGACACACAAAACCTACAGAATATAAATGATTTTGAAGTCCTGGCTACAGGGTAACAAGAGAACCACTTGCCTGTATCACAGTCAAGATTGAGATGCTTACAGCCCTGACATCTATAACGTGCTTCCATATGATATGAGGAGATCCCTATGGGCTGGTAAAGGGTGTCTGACTATGGGATGTTTGTTTGAGATGGACAAAGCCATTTCTCCACTGACACTGTCACAATTGAAAATGAAAAAGGGAAAAAGACACCTAAATTATTCTTGCGTGGTTTCCTTTCCAAATTCATCTGGCTAGGCTGAAGTAACAAGGAGAATGAGAAGTGCTCAGCCTTTCATCTACTGAGTTCAACACTGCTTCTTTGGGCTCATGTCCAAGACTGCATGGCTCCTCTCATCCAGTACAAAACTCACCATTCACAGAGCAGGGCAAATGCAGAGACCAAGTAAACACTCCTATGGTAATGTATTCCTTAAAGTTGTACTTTCCCTTATCTATGAAAGGCCTTATGCTATTGAAAAGTCTCTTAGTGTAGTAAAACCCACAGTGCCTGAACTTTCAATTTCTGGATGTTACTATCACATTTCTGCAAAACACAAAAAAGATGAGCATGAAAACAAGAAAAGATTATTGGAAAGGAAATCTTTGAGAACTGCCTAACCTCAGATGTACTGCTAGCTCCCTCCAGGGGTTTGTGTTTGTTCATTTGGGTTTTTCTTGTTTGGTTTGTTTGGTTGTGGGGCTTTTTTTGTTTGGCTGGGGGGTTCTTGTTTCTTTGTTGTTTTGGTTTTGTTTTTTCTTTTTTAAGAAGAGGAATTTTAAGGGATTGTACCAATGTCATCTGCTTCCAACATGAATCAGAAAGATTACAAGTCATAAATCTGATAAGGTGGGAAAAAGGCAATTTCACTTTTTATAACAACAGGGAACAAGCATGTTTAATTTTGGGTAGGCCTTTTAGATTTCACGCTTACTCTTTTCACAAAAGTAGACTTTAACTGACGGATCTAGATATCAGTTTTCTCTTTCTCAATTTTACCATTTTGTCTACTATCCATGCATACAGTCATCACATACTTCAAATTATATTTTGGTGCATCTCATGCACCTTTTTGTTTAATTTATATTGGCAAAGTAGTAGGTATTCTATGAAGTACAAACATTGCTGACTTAAAGTTCTCTTCCCTCTTAGCTTCCTCTTTAAAAGCAATTTTAGATCGTATTTCCTAAACCAAGGAAGCCTGATTTATTAATACTCCTAATATAGATAACCACATACGGACAAAATACTTCAGGAGACAAAAAAAAAATATCCATTGTGAATGCCAGAGGGTATGGGGATAGTGACCTAGTAAAAGGAAAGAAATAAAGCATGCATTATACCTAAAATATTTGGAATGCATACACACTTCATTTAGCTAGTAAGTACTTCAATTTAGCTAGCAAGTACTAAACTAAGGAGGATTCTGTACTTCACTGGGTTCAGTAATGATGGCAAGTCCCTCATACAGGGTGGGAAAAGATCCCTTTTGGTCTTGGCAGCAACACTGGGAAAGGCTAATCTTAAAATATACACAAATGTTTGTTTGGTTTTTTTTTTAATTTTGAAGCCATTAATTTATCAAAATTTTACTGAGATTCTGAAATAAAACAACCCATGCTTATACTTCATATATGACTTCACTGCAAAATACAGATTCATAATCTGGTGAATAATGCCAAACATCGGACAAAATCATGTTTGGGTCTTCAGATTTCTCTCAGTCATCCTCAGTAAAAGGCAGACAAACTACATCACAGTCCTTAACACCTGCTGCTGTGCGTCTTCAGTTTCTTCATTGATAAAAGATCCCCAGAGTCAATCACAGTGGTTAAAAAACGCGTAATGTGCTTGACTCCTCCTAAAAACGCAGAAGTTGTACATCTCACCACAACTTTTAATGAGGAATCCCAGCAGAAAGTTAACTCCAGGCTCAATACAGGACCTTCTTTGTATCTCTGCTTGTTTCCCAAGTCATATGCAGAAAGGCTGGATCTTTGGCACTAAATTTGTATAATGGAGACTTCTCAAATATGTTCTTATACAGACTTGTTCATCTCTTGAGCTACAGTCAATTACAGAGTAATTAATAGGACAAATTGTAGGTCAATTCTGACCCTGGTTACCCTCTCATCCTTTTTATGTTGGCATCCTAAATGTCTGCATTTGCTTTTCTTGCATTACTTTCGTTATGGAGAGAAAAAGTAATGCCTTGTAGTCACTAGAATTTGCAGTCAGAGTTCCTCATGTGATCATCTTCAGAGTAGAGGGAAGGGTTTTGTTTTTTTATTTTATTTTTAATTTTTAAAATAAGACAACTTTCCATAGATTCTTCTGTCTTTAAAAGACAAATTGGTACTTTGGAGATTAATATTGTCTTTGCATCTTCCCAGCTTGATCATAATTTATATCCTCTTTTGCTAAATTACTGACTTACCCTCTCCTTTTCCACTAATAAGGGTAGAGATAATTACACAATATAGCTGTAAGAAGAGAGACTCTTTGTGCCATTTACCTATATGCCTCATGCAGTGTTTTGCACAGCTGTCAATATTCTTGCCTGCTACAAATGCTACTCTTAATTTCTATTTATTATATGCCATAGTGCATATCCACTTTATGACAGAAAACAGGTACTGATGCGGTCTCATGCTGTTTTGCTGGCACCTCCAGGTAGCTGCCTGATCCTTATGTAATAAAGGAGAGTTCAGAAATGTTTCCATCCTTCTCTGATACCAAAATAAGGAATTTCACCCCAAGAATTACTTTGGCCTGGGGCCCAGAACAGGTAAAATTCAATCCTAGGTGAATGGTGTTTTTTCTACACATCAAAAAAATGATTTAAAAGCTTCTATTGTGAAACTTTTGAACTGAAAAAAAGGAATGAGATCTCTTTTAAGCATCCAACGCTCATTCTTAACCATTAGAGAACCCAGGAGAGCAGTCTTCATAAATGTAGCATCACACAAAGGTTATGATTACACTAGGAATTTCCATGACTTTCCATAACCCTACAGAATTGGATAAATGTAGTAAAGTTATGTAGATGAAGAAATAAAATTACCAAGTAAGAAAAAAAAGAATCTGTAAATTATTTCTCTGCAGGAAAAAGGGAAAAGAGGCAAGAATTTATAGAGAATATCTTTTTATGATGCCCACCAATATTAAGATAAACTAAAAGCAGAATACAAAGAAACCATTTCCTTTTCGAGTCAAAATAAGGATATTTTTTCCAGCTGCCTGAAGTAGACTGAAGTCTGCTAGTTTCCTTAGAAGAGCAGTGGGGAACAGTTAGGTTTAACATTACTAACATTCTGTGGATTTAATAATGGGAGGGAAAAATCATTAGCCCTATAAAATGCAGACCACTAAGTAGAGAAAAGACAAAGCAGGCCAGTTTCCAGACTTACATGGCTAAAGTTTTACATTTACGAAAGTCAGCATTGTAAATCTATAAAGGCAGAAAGACTTATAGTCAGAAAGCAAGCTTTCATCTATGGAAGACTCTAGTACTTCAACTTTGCTGTACTGGGAAAAGGGGAAAGCTCAAGTATAGTACAAGTGTACTCTTCTTACGGAGCAGGTTGCACAAAATAGCTTCTTGAACTTTTGACAAACACGTAATGTAACAGGGTAGATGGTGGGCATGAAACTCCCTTTCCTCCATGTTAAAGTCTACGAATTCTTTTTCATGGGTTATATGTTCTGTTTTGTTAAACTAAATTATTCCTTTTAGTAAATATTCCAGAGTTAATGGGATAAAATGTTCAAATCCACAGTACTGAAAATAAGTAGAAATTTAGCTTTATGAATACACTGAGATTTGTATATAAAGCACAAAGCTTAGACCAAATGCATGCTGCTATAGCAGTTGAAGTTTCATACAGCAATGAGCTAATCAAAATGTGTGAAAATTTGTGAAGTACTTGCATATTACTCCACGCATGTTTGTGTGCATTTCAGAATGTAAGGGGGTTTTACAAACACTTTAGAATCCTGACAAATCTGGTATTTAAGCAGAAGCATTAAGTACTTACCACCACTAGCATTTCCTTCTCTGCGGCTACGTGCACTGCCATCTCTGCCAGATTTAACGCGCTGGAGAACAGTCAAAAAAGTTTGAAGAGAACAGAACAAAACCACTATTTAGTAATATACAGTAGAGACAATTGAAAACTCAACTTATTAATAAAACAGTAGGAGAACATTAAACTAGGCTTGCTAAACTGTAACTAATAAACCTTGTTTTTTCAATGCACAAAATTGTCCCTAAAATCAGTGTTAAATCCCATGTTTACATAAAACAAGAGGTCTGTGAAATTCAAACAGTATCTCAAAACTTATTTTTCTTCAGATAAAATTTATACAAGGAATGTGTGTAAAAAAAGTTCAGATGTACCTTCTTAAAGTACAGCTGAATAAACAGGCAACATAGCCCTTCTTGCACGAGTTCAAAGTAGCCTCTGCCTATTAACATCTTGTAAATCCCACAAGCGTTTTATTACTGTAAAGATTCAAGGGGAGGAAGTAAGGAAATCTATAAAGAGAACTATTCACCCCATATATCTTAAATTTGGAATACTTGGCACGCCACTGTGCTTCACAGCAAAATTTAATTTGCTGTTGAGTGTTAAATGCAAGATAAAGGTGAAGGTAAATACTTTAAAAGCTGTGTTTAAAAAGTCAGCTGTCTTGCACTGAGGAAGGTACCATAAACATCTTCCAGCTGTGGGGCTTTTAGTGTAATTTGGAAACTTCAACAGTTTATCAAAGCAATACCTCTGTATCACATAGCGGACTTGTCTTCTGGCAAAACACCAAATTTCTCATGCATGTACCTTGTCAATTACAAGAAGGTACGTCTAGGTGAGGGACTTTTCAATGGGTAGGTATAAAAACTTGATGTTTGCAGCATTCAACTGTTAATAAAGTAATCTCTGCATTTTATCTAAAAATATGAATTCAGAATCTGATTAACACACATGCACACTACCTAACCATGTATTCAGGTCAATTACTGTAGCTTTTTCTCTCATTTTTCATCAGAAAAATACCATGGAATCTGGCGAAGTTGGAATAACACAGAAGAAGTGAATGAACTTTCATGACTCATGCCAACAGAAAGAGGAAGAACCCTTAAATCAAAAGTCATCGGAGTCAGACAGGAAAGCAGCAAGCCTAGCATGAAACCAGGAATGGTCTTGGAGCAGCCCAGTCTGGGACCAGAATTTCTCATGCTTTTTATTTATTTTGGGAAATCCTCAAGTCTAAAATATGTTCTCTGAGTTTTGTATTGAATATTCTATTCATGGTACTGTGAAATAGCACATATTGGCCCTTCAGGAAGCATGTTCAGACTCTCCAAATGTTGAATGACTGACAAGTCTGCCAGTGGAAGCTCAGCTGCTGTCTGCCAGAGGGAAGTGGTCCCTGTATGACAGAGCCCTCATGGCATTTACATCCTAGGACTTTACTTCCAGAATATTATAGAAGCATATGACTAAATCCTGTAAAGTTCCAAGTGAGTAGTTTATAAGTCACCCCATCTAAAAGCAGACTTTTAAAATAGGTCCAATGTTTTCCACGCTATAAATGCCTATTTTTCTCCCATGACTGCAAAAGACATCTAGGATGATTAGCCCAAATGTAGATATCTGAAGGTAAAGGCAGTAAACCCCCCCTGTCCCCCTCCCCCATATTTGCACCTATGACCACTGCTTCACACCACTACCAATTAGGCCCTCGCTCACAGTCATTAAGCCCACTGAAAGGAAATAAATAGCAATGTGCATATACATCAGTGCTAAGAAGGTTGTGTGAACTTTTACAGTATTACCTGTCTTTTTTAAACTGAAGCATGAAAAAGGAAGATTAATGCAGTTGGGGGGGGGGGGGGGGGGGGGGGGAGAGAAAAAAAAAAAGAAAAAAAACCCAGCATACACAGGTTACAGAAAAATCCAACACTGTGAGAGTCAGGGAGAAAAACTTCTGCACAGAATGAACCCCACAGATGTTTCCAGATTCTTGGCTGGACGTATTTAACAACTTGTCCGTATTTGAGCACCGAGTGCAATAAGTCTTCTAGAATATTTATTTTGGTATAAACTCAATGTGGATATACTTATTCTGGAAAAAACAATGCCAGAATAGCAAATTTTGATAAATTTCTACAGGAAGACAAAGCCTGTGTGCAGACTTTGAAATGTCACTATATTACACTAGCATTTATCTTTTCTCTCTTTACTGGGTGCAATCAAGAAATCATGGGTTGGTCTGAAATTTGGAGCAGGAACTGAACTATATCTGGTATTGCTAACTGAAACCAGTGCTCCTATTAGAAACTTAGGTGGTTGAATATTAAAATTTGGTAATTTTAGAACTTGAAAGTATAGTTTATGACTATACATTCATGGATGACATAAGGAAGTTCTTCGGACAAAAATACCTAGTAATTTCCAAAGCCAGATGGTAAACACAAGACTGAAAAAACACATACACACACAAACCAACCAAGCACAGAAAAAAAAAAAAAAAAAAAAAATCCCTCAAACCAGGGGATGGGACCCCAGATGTAATACCAATAGCAAAAAAGAACGGCAGGGCTATTATATGCAAGACAGCATTGACATTGAGATCCTGTCCCAGAAAGATACTCAACTTCTAACGCAGGACAGCAGTGTACTAAATCGCAGTAAGTTAATATAAACATCATACAATAAACTACGTTGGACATTTAAGATCATCAAGACCAACCATTACCCCAGGACTGCCAAGTCCACCACTAAACCATGTCACATGCATTTTCTGAGCACTTCCAGGGACTGTGATTCTACCACTTCCCTGGGCAGCTTGTTCCAATGCCTGACCACCCTCTTGTTGAAGAAATTCTTCCCTAATTTCAAATCTAAACCTCTCTTATGAAGACAGGCTGAGAGGGTTGGGGTTGTTCAGCCTGGAGAAGAGAAGGCTCCAGGAACGCCTTATTGTGGCCTTTTAATACATAAAGGGGGATGTGTGCAGAGTTTTTACTGGTGCCTACAGTGACAGAACAAGGTGCAACAGTTTTAAGCTGAAAGAGGGTAGACTTGCATTGGACATAATTTAAAAAACAATTATGATGAGGATGGTGAGACAAGGGTTGTCCAGAGCAGCTGCGGCTGCCCCATCTCTGGCAGTCCTCAAGGCCAGTTTGGACAGTCCAGTGGAAGGCATCCGTGCCCTTGGACTTGGACTAGATGATCTTCAAATGTCCCTTCAAACTCAAACCATTCTACAATTCTGCTTTGCAAGGTTAACTTGTGACAGGATAGAGTCACCAGACACTTAAATAGGAATCCTGAATTATAATACACAGAAGGAAATTTTCATTTCATGCCTGAATTATGATCACTATTAAAACAACTAAAACACTTAAAACAACTATGCCATGACTTGTGATACTATACATCTGTAGTGGATTCCACTGATACCTCTGTCATACAGGTACCGCTCAATAAAGTCCCTTAACACAATGTACTCAGAATGAAAAAGAATTAAACAATTTAAACATTACTTCTGTGTTACTAACAATCTTTCAAAGATTTTACTGGTAGCTTTTCCCCACCAGAAAGTACAGAAATTGTTCAGGAAAGCTCCTGCTTCCAACATGAAATTAAAAAGTAATGTGACAAATTATTATTTTCATATTCAAACATTAGCCACCTTAAAGGAAAAAGAACCCTCAACATTTGCAGATCTACTGCACATAATTAACACCTTCAGTGTGAAAAATGTTGGAATTATATGCAAGTAAACAGATAACCTTTCCATTCCCAGGGACCTCTTTCTTTTATTAGCTATAAAATAATACAGTTTTAATTGGTTTCATCTCAGTTTTCCCGAGTAAAGCACCGACATATTGGAAGTTATTGCAAAGAACTATGTATGTCACCAACATTGAACTAATATTCCCTGGAAACCAAGCAAAGCCTGTTTAACACACTTCAGAGAGATCTCTTAGTTGCTGAGTTTTGCAGAATAGGAACACTGTATGTGGTCATCTGTTTTGCTTACGAATACCATTATGGGAGAGATAAGGAGAAAGATTAGTCTCACTACATTTGTGGGTTGCTTTTTTTTTCCCCATTTTCCAAAGCACTTTAAGTTTTACATTTTCTGAAAACCCAAACTGTAACCCAAAAAATACTACCTCCCACAAAGTAAGGTTGTAACATGAATTTGGAATGCTTGGATCAGTGTCTCCCTTTGCGAGTTTCATTTCTAAAATGTCCAAATGTACATGTGCACATTCAGGCTCTCTGGAATTGAAGTAAAAGTGAAGTAATTAGGGATGCATTTACACATTATCTGACATCAAAAGTGAGCCAGTAAGTGCTTCTAGGACAGAGTAAATTAGGTAAAACTTCATGTGTCCTAATGTGACTATGTAGCTTTGAGGCAATTCACTGGATATGAAAAGCAAGCTTGAATACCTTGCAGCACAACAGCATGGATAATGCTTTCCAAACAAAAAGCTAACTTTAATTTCAAAATCTTACTTTATCACAGGAACAGCAAGAAAACTATTCACGCAAGTGTGTGCATCACACATGTTCACTCCTCTGAATAGAACACAAGTTACAATCCCATACCTTTCAGCCTGTAGCTTTCCCACGGAACTTCTTTTTTTTCCAGTTTAAAAATCGACATTAACATTAATAATTTACTTCCATCTATGGAACCTGTCAATGTCGCAACTTTGCATACAGCAAAAAGGAGTTCTACTGCAAGGCTTCCCTTCTCTCCCTGTAGTTGCATTATTACTTGGCTCATAAATACACTTTATACAGTCTGGCAAATAAGCAGGAAAGATGACATTCCAGAGACACTGAATTACGCAGGTGGCTCCAGCATTCCCATCACATCCACATAATCCATCTTTCACTAATATTTAAAATCACAGAAAATCTGGTGCTTAAAAACCATTCAGATACAAGGCTGATCAGTAGTTTAAAACTAAAAACCCAAAACCAACAAAACAGAAGCCTCTCCAAACCAGGGATTTTAACTATCATAAAGGCCATTTTAACTTCTTCTATATAGGCAGTGAAACTCTATCATAGAATCATAGAAAAGTTAAGGTCAGAAAGGGCCTTAAGGTCATCTAGTGCCAACCCCCCCGCCATGGGCAGGGACACCTCACACTAGACCATGTCACCCAAGACTCCATACAACCCAGCCTTGACCACCACCAGGGATGGAACATTCCCAACTTCCCGGGGCAACCCAATCCAGGGCCTCACCACCCTCACAGTAAAGAACTTCTTCCTTATATCCAATCTAAACTTCCCCTGTTTAAGTTTTAACCCATTACGCCTCGTCCTATCACTACAGTCCCTAATGAAGAGTCCATCCCCAGCATCCCTATAGACCCCCTTCAGATACTGGAAGGCTGCTATGAGGTCTCCACGCAGCCTTCTCTTCTCCAGGATGAACAGCCCCAACTTCCTCAGCCTGTCTTCATATGGGAGGTGCTCCAGTCCCCTGATCATCCTTGTAGCTCTCCTCTGGACCTGTTCCAACAGTTCCATGTTGTTTTTATGTTGAGGACACCAGAACTGCACACAATACTCCAGATGAGGCCTCAGAAGAGCAAAGTAGAAGGGCAGGATCACCTCCTTTGTCCTGCTGGTCATGCTCCTTTTGATGCAGCCCAGGATACGGTTGGCTTTCTGGGGTGCATGCACACGCTGCCGGCTCATGTTCATTTTCTCATCAACCAACACCCCCAAGTCCTTCTCCACAGGGCTGCTCTGAATCTTTTCTCTGCCCAGCCTGTAGCTGTGCCTGGGATTGCTCTGATCCAGGTGTAGGACCTTGCACTTGGCATGGTTAAACTTCATGAGGTTGGCATCAGCCCACCTCACAAGCGTATCGAGGTCCCTCTGGATGGCATTCCTTCCCTCCAGCGGATCAACCGAACCACACAGCTTGGTGTCATCGGCAAACTTGCTGAGGGTGCACTCAATCCCGCTGTCCATGTCAGCAATAAAGATGTTGAACAACACCGGTCCCAACACCTATCCCTGAGGGACACCACTTGTTACTGGTCTCCAGCTGGACACTGAGCCATTGACCACAACTCTTTGTGTGCAGCCATCCAGCCAGTTCTTTATCCACCTATAATCATAGAAAGAAACAAGCTTACCTGCTCTCTTATTTCTTTTAATTTTTCCACTTTCTTGAGCTTTGTTGTGTATTCCTGGACTTCTTTCATACCCATATCTGTACAAAGATGAACTAAAAATCGGAGGCCTATTTGGAAAAGCAAAACATTTTTTAAAAAAGGCTTCCAAGCAGGTCAAACGACAAGTATACCCACCCTAACAGAACTGGGCATACAGAATGGCAAACAATGCAAATAACTAGCAATGCAAGGTGATTCTAGTCCAGTATCCCTGTTCAAGTTGTGATATTTTGCAAATAACTTGACATTTTCTATGATGCAGCATCTATATCCATGAACAGTGCAAATGCCATTTATACATGGGAAAGGCATAAGACATAGTAATTCATCTGTTTCAGAACTCTTGATGTTTGCAAAGTATTTTGGAAACTAGAAAGCGCAATAATGATATTAAGTTATTACCAAGGAGTCACTATCAACAGCATTCAAACGCCAAGAGAATCACAGAATCACAATGGTTCAGTTTTTCTGTTGCTGTGGTTGATTATTTTTAAAGATTATTATTTATAAAATTAAAAAAAAAAACAGCAAACCAGACATGAAGATTGACTATAATTTTAAAATCTGTTAAACTGTCTCATTTCTGCCTCCACTTTGTAAATTACAGAAACTACATAAGGGAGGAACCGTTCAGAAGAACCGTTGTTTTAGCAGCAGAAAATTTTAAAATCTGTTAAACTGTCTCATTTCTGCATTCTAACAGGTTTATTAAATACTCTGTCCCTCTGAAATGTGTGACCATATGAATGTGACATTTTGCTTGTGACTTTGAGGAGTCATACTACTGTATCTCTTTTGTACAACAGAACTGTATGACAACAGTATGATTATGTATGAGCAGTACGTTTGTCAAAGCAGAATGATACAATTTTTTATTTTTTATTTTTTTTAAATACAGTGAGTATTCTTCCCACATAGCATTTAAAAAGTGTAGGCTTGTTATTAGTGAGGCAGCGCAGGACAAAAGAGGATGTCTGCACAACCAGAACCAACCATTATTTTCTACAGGGCTTAGTCATTTAAAGTACATGTTTGACCGATTCTGCAAATATCTCACTCTTCGAAGTTATGTTTCCTGCAGTTCAATTTGAAAGTATTTTCCAGAGACTGGCTGCCTAACTATACTTAAAAACCTAACAACAAAATCTCACCTTCTACATTCTTTTTGAAGGCCTGGCTTTGGTAAAACTTAACAATAATATTTTCTCATATATATAAACAGCAGGAGTTTCAACTAGCAGGGACTGGAAGTAAAATACATACATTTCATTGTAAAAAAGATTAAATAAATAAGTCAGTCATAAAACTTAGGAAGTATGTATGAGAAAAAACTCAACCAATCCACTACAGTTAAAGTTTATTTTCATCTCTTCAGCATTACCTTAATATTTCTTAAATCATGCTTTAGTATTATCACATGCAGCATTAGCATGAATAAAAATGTTAGTTCATTAAAATATTTTTGTATGAAAAATACTTCCATCATACGATTACTAACACACATATTCAATGTAACAGTGTTTCCTCTGATAGCTGTACCACTCAATGAACTTACATTCAATGTTCTCCGGGAATTTTCTGTGAACGACTTTGTATTTCTCTAGAGCTTTCTGGTAGTTACCTGCAAACAAATCAAACATCTCCTATCCGCATATCCAAATACAATAAAGAGTAACTTATGAGAAACTGGTACAATTTAACATTACTTCATCTTTTCAGTATGAGTACATGATTTAATATTATAAGACCTGGGTTTTGCACTTTTTTGATCTGCTTCTAGGACCCCACTGTTGTATGAACCATCTGCTAGACAAGCTGTATCAAACATACCAGGGCTCACTGGAGGCTGCGTATGTATGGATTGGCCAAATAGGAATGCATACCAGCTGAGCTCTGCCTGTCCATCCTTCCATCAGAATAATAAATGTGTCTCTCCCCTTTGCCCAGATATGGTAGTAAAGTAATTATTCTTTAGGATTTTGCTTTCAATTTTGGCTTGGCTTGATCATGATGGAAAGGGCTGACAGATCCTGTGAATTTAAAACCTCATATCTATAAAATATCTGACAATAAAGTTTGAGATATCACTGATTTTATTTTTCTAGTGTGAGGCAGAAATCAAACTGACCTGTTATGTGTTAACACGATAAGCTGGGAATTTTGCCAATGAGTCATAAATGAACCAAAAAGCAGCCAAAACCACTGTGTTTCTTTGCTGCAAAAACAGTTAATATGTCTGGTTTTGGGTGGTGCTGAATGTTCTTAATTCACTGGCTTCCCTAAGTCATGTTCCTTTCCTCATTGTTGTATTAAATAAATGCATTTTCTCACTTTGCTCAGATATTTATTATGGAAGTCTGCTTTGCAAAGCTTTAAAGAAGCATAAAGAAGAGTGATAAAATGGGAAAGCAAGAAAAGAAGAGTACCACTTATGTCATCAAGTGTCTTGAATGCATTTTAGGTGCAAAAATGCATTTAGGTACAAAAAACCCAGAAAGATTAGTCTCTTTCCATTTTTCTTACTGGTGTATTATATTCGCAGCAAGAAAATACAGCACATTAAGACTTTGTGTGATGTAACTACTATTTTAATATTGAAAAATTATACCTGATGTTGAAAAGGAATAAGAATTACACAACTTTAAAATCTAATTATTTATGTTAGATCAGATAGTAGTATAATTACACTGAAAAAAATCCTATCAGATAATTTATGGTGTACTAACTTCTTTATTTTACTTATTCAGTAGCCATGGGCAGGGACACTTTCCACTAGACCAGGTTGCTCAAGGCCCTGTCCAAGCCAGCCTTGAACACTTCCAGGGATGGGGCAGCCACAACTTTGCTGGGCAACCTGTGCCAGTGTCTCATCACCCTCGTAGTAAAGAATTTCTTTCTACTACCTAATCTAAATCTACCCTCTTTCAGTTTAACACTGTTATACTTTGTCCTATCAGTACAGATACTGATAAAACGTCTCCTTCTTTCTTACAAGCCCGCTTCATATATTCTCCAGGCTTCGCTTCTCCCAGCTGAACAACCCCAATTAATTACAAAACCAATGTTACAAGCCTCCAACCAATTATAAAAAAGTTACAGAACTTACCACTTCTCCTGTAGCAACTGGCAACCATCAGATGCCACTTCTCTTGTGTTGGTCTGCATACAGATAAAGTAAAATTATGCACTCTACCAAACAATAAATAAGCTAACTCACCTGCAGAGCATTGGTAAAGATCTACTATTAAACTACTTTCAATTTTTTTCACCTAACATACTGCCTTCCAAAGAAGAATTTAGCCTGCTCAATATACACAGAGTTTGCCCTTGCATCACATTCCTGTTCAGGCCTTGATGCCATTCACTTGTAGTCTTATATTATAGGCTTTCTCCTGGTCATGATTCTGTGCTCCAGACACAATTAGTTGAACTGACATATGAATGACTAATCTGTGTGTGAGGTACAGAACCATGTAGTAGGGGAGAACAAAATGCTAAACTGGATTCTGAGAAGAAAGTCCCACCAGTAGGGTCCCATGCACACCCAAGGGACGGATCCCTGCCACAAAGTACACTCACCGCTTTAGACTGTGGCTTCTTCTGTCATCGCCTTGATGGCCTAGTTGCTACCTGTCCTTTTTAGCACATAATGGTGATAGATACGGTCAGAGAAAATATTTGATATGTCTGAGCATGTACACCAAAACTGTTGGACTCTCCTCATTCTTGTAACATGAAAATTAGGGAATTTTCATGTCAACATTGTAAGGAAGCTCTTTTCGCACACGAATAACAATTCAACAGTAGCACATCCCAAAAGCACTGTATGCTAACGTTTTCAGAATAGTTTTGCACTTATTCTCTTCAGTTTTTCCCTCCAGTTGCAGCACAGGCCATTTTTAACTCTAAATAATCTATTTGCCTGGTAGTTGCCAAACAGGTTTACGAAAGACAGCCGCTTCACCTTTTTTTTAGTTTCACCTGAATATGTCTCTTGCAAACAATAACTGCAGCCAAGCAGACACCATAAGTTCAGTACAAAAATTCTAGAGAGAATAAATTGTCAGCAGCGAGAATGAGCTGCACAACTCCTTTATCATAGATTTGTGCAGGCTGGTAAAATGTCAAATAATAGAAAATTGTTTCTTAATTCAATGTCTAACACAGTATCTTAGATTGCAATTTAAAATGTAATTATTGTGATTAAAACACTGAATATACTAAACAAACAAAAAAGTTAAACTAGAAAATGCCGGTCATGGTTAAAATAAACTTAGAATTTTAAAATATAACTTTATTTACAATTAGTAGTAAATTATAACCCAATATTCATACTTATCAATTAACATATCTAGACTCTATTTTCAATACCAAATAAACAGCAAAACATGTGTTCTGTTATCTACTATTAACAATCTCAGACCCCAGAGAAATAATTTCTCTGTATTACAGATAGATTACAATTACAAATAATACTAAAGAATTTCATATGCCAGTTATTCATAATTACTTTACAATCCACATACTTCATGCATGGAATGAGTGCAACATGAAGCATAAAATATTTAGATCTTTGCCAAAACATGATTATGAAATAATCCTTTTTAGTTTCAGCTGTTTCCTTCCAAAGCTTCTAAGAAGGCTGTGAATGACAGCATATGCAGTCTTATAGCTTGACTAAAATATTATTTTTTAAGGTGGCCAGTATTTATGAATAAAAGAATACTGGCAAACCTGTGAACTGTGATTTCTGCAAACTGTCTCCAGTGTGTTTTCATCTAGTCTACATTTTCCTATTTATTTGTTTCAATTTTTATTGTTATTTAAACCTCGTATTATCTCTTCTGTCATTAAAGTCTACTCTAATTCAAGCCCTTTGAAAATCAGAATTACCATTTTTTACTGAACTAATAACCTATTCATAGTATAAACTCTCCTTAATAATATTGCACAAATTTTTGTTCACATCTTGTTTATGCATGCCTTTTAAATTCACAGAACAAAAAGAATGTCAAATTTTATATCATCACAAGACAAGCAACAGTCAGGTTTGCTTAACCTGATTTTTAATCAGTTTCTCAAAACACAAAGAATGGAGTGAATTTTAGTTGCATGAATTTTGTTTGGCCTATTAACAGAAAATTCTTCATGAACATAAAGACAAATACTTGTTTCCATATGAAAAGAATATATGGATGTCTTTTTAGAATTCTGCTTAAACTCTGGATTAAACAGAAATTTGGTCAAACTTAAATCTGTAATCTATTTGCCTGGTAAGCTTCCATTCTAATCTAAAACAAAAGACATGGCCTACATACTTTCTTAAGTGCATCATATTCTGCCTATATTACAATATCGGCAATTAATTTCCTGAACTGAACTCAAGATATTTCAGATATCTCTATCAGGATCAATCTGATCTGTCAACTTATTTTCACTGACCATTGGTAATTCTGCACTGCACATTTTTGCTTACTTGTACACCTTATTTGTAATATCCTTTCCATGGAAGGAGAAGTTATGTTAAAAGTAGAAATACAGCAAGAACTGCTGAAAGATGCATTTATCTAAATCATCAAGTTGTCACCACATGATAAAAATAACAGAAAGGAAATATTTCACATAAAGCAACAGAGAAGGAGATCTTGCTGGCTTAGGAGAGCTATTCCCCACTTTGTAGCTGTGTTTAATGGCAGAGGATAGAAAAAAGAGATTCTAACACCTGTTATCTTGGGCCCAATGTAGGATCTCACTTAACACTGAAATTGCACAGTAAGAGTAAAAACATGTTGTAGATTATTAGAAAGTTGATAAAATTAAATAATATCCCAAATATTTTTAACTTTGGTATTTATTTACATTATTAAAATTATCCAACTAATTTGTCTCTAGGTATACTTATGGATATCTAATCATGAAATATTGAGTGGGCATAGAATAACAATTACTTACAGGATAAGTGCTGCTCTTTCAAAGTACTCAATGGCTTTTTCACAAAACTGGGTTTCAATGTAATAGGCTCCAAGCCATTCAATGACCTCAATGTTTGAAGGGAAATACCTGTATGACTGACAAAATAGAAAACGTGAAAGAAACACAATTTTAGTGATAAACAACATCTTTGTTACTTCTGGAATATCTTACTCAGGTGTTTAATTCTCCAGATGCCAAAAACATGTAATATATGAATGGAAGTAGTGTGTTACACTAAGCAATCCTGAAGAAAAAAAAAAAAGCATACCAATTTTTCTAATTACAGAATGCTTTTTAGAAGTTACCCGAGATGAGTCTGTCACATTTTCCATCCAGCCTATTTGAAAACTGTTATTTTAAATAGTCTGCACAGCAAAACTTGTTTACTTACATCATGTCTACATTTGAGTAGATTACCTAGAACATTAAACAATGTTAACTAATACATGTACAACTCCACACTCTAACAGTCTGCTGGAAAACTCACTTAAAAGCATTCTTTTCTACAAAACACATTATGTACATAAATAACAGTTTCAGCTTACAAGTTCCTACTGAAATAGGCAACAAAATTATCATTAAACACAACTCTCCACTAGTATTCAGACTGCAACACAGCCTTTGGTCATCCTCGCTTTACACAGATGAAAAGAACTCTCAGACTGCAGCAAAGCAACTTCCTGTCTTATTCCCGTTTCCAAAACAGACTAATCTCTACAGACAATACTATAGCTACTTTGAACTGAGAGAGGATGCCTATCTTTAGGCATCTGGATATATATGAATTGAAACACATTATATATATGTACTCCATATCCACTATATAGATACAGCTTCCAATCAACACAGTTATATTACACACCTTTAAAATGAAATTTATGATATCCATTTTTTATTTAATCTTAGACTATATTTTAAATTAAAATTGTTAATGGTCAATGTAAACATGAAAGTCTGAGGCCAAACACCATGTGGAAACACCAGCTATGTGCTTCCTTAGGATCTGACTTAGAAATGTTAGATTTTGTCAACTGTCCCCCAAAATTATTTTTTCCTTTTTTTTCCCTTTTTTGGATTACATTTTTAAAGGTTTAAATAAAAGTTTAATCAATTGTTAATTTGATATAGAAAGCTATGGCAAAATTTTCCTTAATTATGACAAAGTGCATTGGAAAAGCAATAAAGTACCTCACAATAGTAATGAAAAGCCTGGGATTTATCCCCTTCATTATCATATAATTTCCCTAGCTTTGAAAGTACATGCGGATCAGTTGGTACTATACTGATCAACTGCAGAAGCCACTCTATGGCTTGATTGGGATCTCCCATGATCTCATATCTGAGTTTTCTTCAGTCAAGGACTGATACTGATGATATTTTGATTTAGTCATAATTCCTACTACTTTACATAATGTTATCCATATGTTGGACAGTTACACTAGTCACTGAAGTGTGGAGATACACTGTCTTTTCTACACATTGTTTTCATAATTTCATTTGTATTATAAAGTATTTTTCCTATGAAGAAGAGAGAATTATATTGAGAGGCTCTGGCTGCTCTTTCACCAAAAAACACCTTGGGCTTGGTTCTCCTCTCTCTCTCTGTCACTAATTTTACTTTGACTTCCTCATTTATAAGAATCAAGTGTGAGGACCAGGTGATCTATCTGTAGCCTTTACAACTTAGTTAATTTCTCATAATACATTATTTTGGCCCAAAGTAAGTGGTCAGGTAAAATTGCTATCCTCAAATACAGACTTTTGCCTGCAGTAGAATTTTCTGCTGTATGTCTAAGCAGCGCAGCACAGCACAGATAGTGTACAATGCTGTTTCAGAGAACAGAGACAGCTTAAGCTGTAATTAGGCCTACAGTATTATCTCCCCTCCTCCATCACCCTTAGCAGCACAGACCTCTGCAGCAATGGGAGCTGGAGCAGCTGCCCAACATGTTTTTTCAGTTTATGCACCATGCCCTTCATGGAGACAGCTTGCCAGTATTGGTGGAAAGCAGTTTTACACAGCAGTGGAGCAGAGAAACTCCTCCCCAGAGGAGTTGTAGGGCCATTATGTTGTTGCAAAGTAGCTATATGAGGAATAGAGATTACAGCCCCTTTGTATTTTTGGAGGTTACTTATTTTACTAAAATATATTTTTATTACCTTCACTATTCTTGAAATTGTAGTACAGCAAGTGGAATCTGGGGAGGATTTCGCACATCCTCAGAAGAATTATTAAAGAAACTCAGTGTGTAGAGTGTCACTGGTGATGTGCAAAGCCAACCCCTCTCCTTAGCTTTTCAACCTGTTGACCTGTTGCAGTGATGGGAGACAAGTTTTTTTAAACATACACTAACTAATCTGGGAACAGCTTTCAGAACAGAACTTCACTTTCATTAACTGTATTATTTTTTTCTGAAAGGGTTTACTCAATTGTGCTTACATCTGTCACATTATTTTAATGTGCAGCATTTTAAATACTCCAGGACACAATACTGAGTGTAAAGGTATTCCCTGCCATGTGCACAGTATTAATGTATTTTTTCACTTGCTCCACTGGAAATGTTCAAGAAGGTTCTAAGTTCTGTTCTCATTTTCACAAACATCAGAGAACGAATCTATGCATGATCATCCTAATTACAATGGACATTACAGTAAATTTCTAAGTCATCATGTCATGACTGATACACATTATTTCAGGTTAAATAAATCTACTAAAACCACCGTCCCTTATCATAATCCAGAAAAAGATACATGTTTGCTATCTGGTGAAGGACTTGGGCGCTATTTCGAAGGATTGCATGGAGTTTCAGAAAACAATCCAAAGCTTCATCTATTCTGTTTAACTTCTTGTATGTTAAACCTAAAAAAAATAAAAGGTTATGATACTATTGCAAAGAAAAAAAGATGACTTTAGCACATTAACTGACAGAATAACCAAGAAAAATGCAATAGGAACACACGAGTAGCATAACTGCCTTGGCATTGATGGACTTTTATTTGTGAGAGGCATGCTTACATTTCTTACTAGCTAGTACGACTTACCAAACTGATAAACACAAGGAACACAAACGTAATCAAAGACCAAGAACATATGCAATCATGCTTTTTTAACAAGATGAGTGAGGGAAGCAGAGGGAGTGCTTTTACAGGGGAATGACTGATCACTTAATGCTAAAACTGGTGTATTTTTAGTTGATAGTAGAAATTTTTATCTTTAAAGTGAGTTAATCAGCTGCAGTTACTAGTTGATGTTGTTAATACTTTTTTTTTGGCAGAAGAGATAGGAAGTACAAATTAACACCTTGCTATAACATAAATTACTGAGTAAAGCAATAATAATTAGTATATATTTCTACACAAGAAAACTTTGAAAGCCAGATTCTTAGAAACACTAGTGTTACTTATAGACAAATCTAAATCCTAAAAGCACTTTTGGCTTACCAAGATTATAGAGCGCTTCAGTGCATGAGGAATCATTCCCGAGAGCTTCCTTATAAAACTCAGCTGCTTTTTCATAGTCTCCTTTTGCAAAAATAGTATTTCCTTTGTTAGTTAGAGCTGCTGGATTGTACCTATCAGAAATTACAGCTAAATCTGCATAGTTAGCTGCTTGTGCCAATTCATTCTCCTACATGAACAAAACAAACATTGTATTAATCATTTGACAGTCAATTTTCTTACAGCTGTGTCTTCTTACACTTGGTGGAATTTCAGAAGATTGAGGATGAAGAAAAAATAATACGTTCTTCAGTCCTAAAATATTCCATATGTACTTGCATAAGCCAGATCATCTCTTTCTAGTTTCAGAGAACTTAAGATGAGAACACAAGACGTGTTTTGTCCCAATCAGTTTTCTTTGCAACAAAGCAGTATTTCTATTTAAAAAAAAAAAACAAACCAAAAAACAAAAAACCACACTCACAGCAAAACCAAAATCAAAACAGCCCACCACACAAAAAAAAACACATCAAAATAAATTCCCATATTCTATAAACTTCATACACAATCACACCTGCCTAGGCTACATAGCTACATATTTCACATGTTCCTGAAGTTCAGCCAGGGTCTTCAGGACCTGAATTTTAAATGCAGCTGCTATGCCTCTACACAAATCACACTGCAGGCATACTTCCGGGGCCTGGGGCTTAATCTCACTCTTCCTCCCAGCAACAGGATACAAAGGACATGTTCCAAACTTAAACTACAGCCAGAACTGGTGTTCCAGAGTTAACTCCTCTACATACAAATTCTTGTTGTTTACAAAGACAGAAAAATTGCTACAAACATACAGAAGTTGCTACATAAACTGTAGCTCTTTACTGGTTTTGTTAAAGCAAACACTTACCAAATAATAAAGGAATGAAAGGTTTGTTGCCGCTGCACTCTTTACATTGCTATCCTTTTGCTCGAACATTTTTAAAGTCTCCAGTGCCTAGAAGTAATTTGGAAACAACTTACTTCTCACTGAAGCAAACTTACAGCTAAGTTTTTTCATAAACTTGCCAGTAACAGCAAAGATTATCAACCCACATACATGATAATTACTAGAGCTTGTAACACACTCTTGTAAGCATGTATACACAGAAATATATCTGTAGTAAACACAAGCTTGGTCACAAAATTCCAAAAGTATTGGCTATTTATTACTACTTCAAAATTTAATTAGATATGGTTACCTTGAAGTATACAGGTATCTGACAATTCTACACATACAAAATACAAGTTTATATTGCATTTAATCTAGTCAACTAATTAAAATTCTCATAACTCTCTAAGTGAACATGAAAGCATTGACATTAAAACTCTTATTAAAAAGTCAAAAATGTACACACTATATAAAAAATATGTAAGACTGTAGAATTGGATTTCAATTTGCAGTTGTTTCTTTTAATACGATGATGACACCTGTCTAAGCTCAGGAAGTACTCAAACGTGAAGACCAAGATCAGAAGATTCGTTTTAAAAACACTTTTACATGAAAACTAAATTTCATAAACTTCAAAATAAAGAAGCTTGTGGACAAAAAGTAAACAAATTTGTAGCTAATAAACCATCAAAGAAGCTTTGAAATAAAAGGCAGCTTTTTTCATTGACTATGTGATAACATTTGTAATTGCAGACTACATTAAGAAAGTCTGGCCTTTTTACACTAAATATTTATATTAAGTACACAAACTGTTAGAATATCACAGTGAGCCCAATTCCATCATCTATTACAGCACAGATGTGGCAACTTCAGTTTAGCCATCAACATCAGCAATTCAAAAAGCTTCCTTCCTCCTTCACATGAAACCTAAAGCTGCTGTTTACGTATCAAAGTGAAGGCATGATACTGTATGTGGAATGACAACACAAACAAAGGAAACAAATCTTAATTGACTGCCACACATACTGTTTTTACAGCTGCTTTACACAAAACCCAGGACTGTACTAAAGAGGTGTAAAATGATGAAGTATATACAGCTAGATGTAGTTCATTGATTTGGTCAACTACATTCTACCCAAGAACTATGTACTAAAGATTATAATATTCTCCTAAGAATAGTAAATTCTGTAAAGAAATAGACCAATTGCAATAAAAAGAGCATTTAAAAGTTAGGCTCTAGATTTTGTGGTCTCTGAAATCTAAGACTTCACTGTAATAATGTTAACTTACATGTGACTTACATGTGACTTTCTCCCAGAAAGGAATGGTTCCAAATACTTACAGATGGAAGACTACTATAGCTGAAATATTCTTAAGAAAAGATTCAGTTCTTCATGGAATTAATTTTTAGTAAACTTAGAACTATATATATAGTTCAAAGGCTTTCTGAAAAGCTATTTCCCATTGTCCTGATTTGTTAACCTTTGCTTTGACTGCTAAATGGCACCTTTGACAATAAAGATTAGAGTGGAAGTAATCTCTTTTTCATGTATAATGAAAAGTTTGTATGTCTCTGAACTCTATTCACTTAATAGCAAATTAAGTTACAGGTCCCTTGAACCGTTTCAGTAATTATGAGCCCCAGGATGAAAATCCATAGCAATATTCCTTTTGCTCTTGCAAAGTAGAAATGTTCTCACTGTATCATCAGCTAAATTTATATTTTTATAAATAACTTCTAAATTTTTAATCCCAAGAATAACAATTAGATTCAAGAAGCAAAACACAGACTGTCCAAATTATTCTTTGTGACATGTTTCCAATGTACCTAAATCATTTGCTTACAGAAGTTAAACTTCAAAGCAGCCTGCCTGACCCAAGCAGGGTCTGCAAGAGATAACAGGGAGTTGCATGGCTAACCTGCAGAATTTTGCTTTTAAATTAATTTTCAAAGTTTTTATTTGAAATTAAAAAAACATTCAACATCTAATACACAAACCTATTTACTAATAAAATACAATCTAGATATATTATGGTAATTTCCACTTTTTTTGCTAGGACTGTTTTCAAATATCATATTCATTATGATAAGCACATAGTTAAGCCCATTACAGTTACAGCAGAAATCTATTTTAGTTCTTTTTTTCAAAACACAATCAAACTTTCAACCTTGAAACTGAGTATTTCACAAAGTTTCCATTCTTGTTCTTCAGCCAAAGGTGTGTTGAGCAGGTGGTGAGTTAGTAAATATATGAACAATAGACAGAATGAATACAAGTGGCAGCTGTAGTTGTATTAGAACAAAAAAAAACCCAAAACACTGCAATCACCATTCTGCAGTCCCACTCCAATATTAAAGTAGTTTCAGTGCAGGTGAAAGTCTTCTATCACATAATCAAATTAAAAGAGCATCTCCTCCACTTACTCCGGGCTTCCAACACCTTTCCCTCTTCCTCCAATACAGTACTCCACAGAAACATCACCAACAATCCCTGTATCTCATTTCACCTCTGTTAGGGATTTTTTTTCATTGTTGGTTTTAGTTTGGTTTTTTAACCTATGCTGGATACTAACTGGAAATTGCAAAGAATTACCATCAGAACAGTAAATTCTTGAGATAATATAACTGTTTACCTAGTTGTAACACTCTCACCCTTCAAAAGTTATCATCAATAAGGCTACTAGATTTTTCCCAAATTTTCCAAACTCTCAAACTGCTTCCTGATCACAGAAAAGCTATCAGTCAGACATGCAGTATAATAAAGGATAACTCTCTTGCTGTATCTACAGGGAAGGAAAAAGAGGACAAGACAGACAGGAGAAGAAAGAGCTGCTCAGAAAACCAGAAGAGCTTAAATATGATAAGGAAAAACAGCCTAAGTTAAACAAATACCTTTGTGTGCAGCCCTCCAAGCTATGGAAAGGTTAGGGATTAAGAAGATGAGAGATATTCAGCTTCAGCTGTAATTTTGCTGTACATGAGCTCTCATACTTCTTTCCACACCTGCAAACCCAGGGGTTGCTATATTTCTTATTTATCCACTACTATTATCAAATGTACTGAACAGTGCATGCTGGAAGGAAATTGAGCAAATACTTCAGATATCTGAGCTTTTTGTTCAGATATTTTTTTTTCAACTGCTCCCATTTCAAACCAAAAATTTTTTCACACACACAAAAACAATAAAAAAATCCCATGAGAGTTTTGATGAAAACCTGGCATTATAAGTTATAAAAAATTGATGAAGAGCGAAAAAATACATTTGTCTTAAAAGAAAAACTTTAAAAGAAAACTGCACATTCTCCTATATAGTACCAAAAACTAGATAATACCATGGTAAGTTGTGGTATTAATTTATGTGCATACATTTGCAATTTATATGCATAGAAAAGGGAAGCTACAGTTAACAGCATGATGTACTTATTAGCAGAAGATTGGGGAAGGCAGTTCATCATAAAATTCATTCACAGAAATGCCTCTAATTAATGACTGGACAGCCAGTTGAAGAAATAGGTCTTACCTACATAAACATACGTAAGTAATTTCAACATAGCCAAAAGATACTTCGCATGTATATTTTAAAATACAACAAAATAATGAAGAGAGAACATGTAATAATATGCATGATAAAAACTGCAAAAATCACAAAGATTTTGGTGGATATATTGTCTGAACAGTTAATGAGTTTTGAGCAATGAGCTATACTTTTACTTGAAAGTATGAACACCATATCTTTCCTATGACCTCCCTCATTTGCTAATAGACCCTGTGGCTTAAGCTGCTATATATCTTTTCATTAACAGCGATTCATCCTAGCCCTCTGCTTTCCAGGGGGCCAATCTTTCATAAAAGATACAGAACTGTCCAAGCTTCTGAGCAGATGCTGAATTTAATTCAAGTTCATATTTCAATGGAAGTATAGGAGAGCTGACAAGTTCAAGGTCAGATTATAATATTTTAAGGAATGCTATAGTACACATGTAGCAGTGAGAATTCTGTAACCTAAAAAATACTTACGAAGTGCATCTGCATATATTTTGGTACTATAGTCAAGCTAACTGAGAGAAAGATTCAGTTCACACCAATAAAAACACTTCCACATTGATTAGCAACATGCCTTCTAGGCTCTATTGACTGTACTGACTACAGCTCTATTAACTGTGATGACAGCTTGGACACCCAAGGAAGATAATTAACTTTAGGCATCTCAATTTTGACATGAATTGCATTCACTGTAACTTCTGTGGCAGAAATTTCATTTAGATAAATCTCATCTTTTGCCAGTGCTTTTACAGTTATTTTACTGTGCAGCATTAATCTGATTATTATGTTCGTATAAACAATTCCTCCCTTCCTGAAAAATATGCAATGGCTAAGAAAGGTATCTTTGCCAATACAGTATTAAAAAGTAGTAATGTGAAAAGCTACTATACCTGTTTAAAATCCTGCTGTCTCAAGTAAGTAGTGGCTTTATTTATTTCCAGGTCATTGGCTAACTCAACATACTGGGAAGTTTTTACTGCTTCAACACACCTGAAACAGAGAGAAACCCATTATCAACATGCATCTGTGCAAACACCACCTTAAGTTACAGACTTTTACAGCCAATTTGTTTTCCAAAATGAGTTGTTTCTAACTATTCTTTCTTCAATGAGGCAAAGAGCACTTTGAGTAAAAATATGTGAAAAAAAAATGCAACAAAACAAAAAACAAGCCCCATTTTATTCCCCTAACCTACCTTAAGAACACAATCTCTGCACTCTGGGTTGTTTTTTTTTTGTCAGTTGCCTAAATATCATGCTATATTCCACCACTGAGGGATACCTGGTGTCAGATACTGACTAAGATGATTTTTCAAACCATATTCTTTGGATACATTCTGTGAGTTCATTTTTCAAACCTTATATCCTGTTGCATATCCTTCCAAGCCCGTAAAACGACATGGTGGACAAAGCCAGAGACTGCAGATTGCGTCCTTAAGCTACATAATAATAACAATAATAAAATCATAATAATAAGCCTCTTCCTGGTTATCCCCCAGTTACTTTTGGCTTACGGTCTTATGCAAAATGAGGGCAGAACAGAACACAGCAGACAGTTCACATGTTCATTCACAGACACCATCTTCCAGGGCCTGATGTGGTGTACTTTAAAATTGCCTAGTCGTTTGAAGCATGAACTTTATTTATTGTGGAATTTATTTATTGTGGAACTTTATGTATTGTGGAATTAAACACACTTTGTGGAATTAAGAACAACTTTGTGGGATGCTTCTTTAATCCCTTCCACATTTTTTAATTTTTTTTTAAGTGGTGGAAAGCCACCTTCCTTTCTTCCAATAGTTGGCTAATTTGCCTGCAAGTTTAATTTAGAAAACTGCCTGCTGCTGGAATTGGGTTAGCACAGGGACAGTCTCTGCACAGAGTATAGAACTGCCTTTTGATGTTGGACATCAAAAGACGAAAAAAGCAATTTCTATAAAATCTGCAATAAAAGAAAATTCATAAAACAGTTTTCAGCTGTTACTGTTAACATCTTTTAACCATAAAATGCAGTGACATCTAATTATCCAACTGATCCTTGCAGAATATGACAGAATATTGTCACATTTTAAGTAAGAATTTATGAAATCCAAAGATAATTTTTCCTCACTTTATTTTTGGAAATAAAATTAATCTAATTAAAAGCACATTTAATACTCAAGGACTCATAACAATGTGCAGTATTTGGAACTAAGCTCATGCTGCTAATTGTATTTCTTCACTGGGCTTGAGTATCTCCACTTAGAAGAACAAAGTAAATCTGTCCTGATACACACAAAACAATCCCACACATCTCACCAGAAGTTCTTTAGTCAGCCAGAACAGATATCATAGTGGTTTACTTCATGCCAAATATTTTGTGGATAGCACTATGGAAACTTGGTATCTAACATCCTTTTCCAGTTTTCGTGAACAAAAAACAAAATACAGAGCAAATAAATCTGACTTCCTCATACTAACAAGTTATAAAGCAGCAAGCTGATTTTCACAAAATGTACTGTTTGAATTCTCATAAATCAGAATGGCAGAAGTAGGGAAATTATAAGATTATCTGAAGGGGGCCTATGGTGGGGGGGGGGGAGGGACTCTCCATTAGGCACTGTAGTGACAGGACAAGGGGTAACGGATTAAAACTTAAACAGGAGAAGTTCAGATTGGATATCAGGAAGAAATTCTTTCCTGTGAGGGTGGTGAGGCACTGGAATGGGTTGCCCAGGGAGGCTGTGAATGCTCCATCCCTGGCAGTGTTCAAGACCAGGTTGGACGAAGCCTTGAGTGGCACGGTTTAGTGTGAGGTGTCCCTGCCCATGGCAGGGGGGGTGGAAGTAGATGAACTTAAGGTCCTTTCCAACCCTAACTATTCTATGATTCTATGATTATTAAAACATCAAACACCACCTTGTGGACTCTAGAAGACTACACGTCTGTGTCAGAGATTATTTCATGTTAGTATCAACAGCTTTATTGGTTAATTATAATTATAGGATCTGCAAAATTTTAAAATAATCCTGAGGGGAAAAAAAAAAAAAAAAAAAAAGAAAAATCAACCAACCAACCAACCAAAAGATTATGAACAAAAAAAACAACACTGAAAAACCAAGTAAAATTCTCCTTCCCCACCAAATTTCCTTCACTTCCCAAACACTGGGCATACCTTTTAGTAATGCTGTGGCTGCAGATACACAACATTCATTTGTGTACATGTTATTTTCCAATATTATTATTAAAAATACTAAAAATATTAAAGTCCTTATAATAGAAAACAAAATACTAATTAAAAATAAATCCTGAAAAATTATTTTAATCAGTTTTATTAACAGGAATTGTGTCTGTTTGGTTTTGTGTCAAAGAAAAGAGTAGTCTGCTGTAGGAAATACAACAGAAAGCAAAAGCTAAGCTGTAAATTGAAAAATTGAGTGGATTCAGAAGTCAAAATGGTAAGCTGTATCACCAACCTATCACTGTATACACTTGCATAAGTGTTTAGGAAACCATACATTAAGTTTATATTTATAAACATTAAGTTTATAAATGAAATGCAAACAACCCTTTCTAATAATATTTAGATTACAGTGTTTTATATAATGGCTCTATGGAGTAACAAAAACTTCTAAGTCCCCCAAGTCTTCATTATGCTATCTTCAAACTTACAGCAAAGAGTAGCAATTGTTGCCTTATTCATAGCATTTGCCTATGGAGACTTTTAAAAGTTCTTTAGTACTCAAATTATTTTTTCAAATTCAATTGAATTTTAAGAAGCTCTTTTTGTGCTAATACAGAACAGTTCGAAATGTATGATTAATAGTTGAGTTTCAATAATAAATGAAATTTATTTTTAACACAGAATAGACTCTAATGCTATGGTTTGTTCTTCTCCACAGCATTATGGAAGCAAACTGAAAATAGGCCGGACACTATGAGATGTGAAGCAAACTATGCTTCCCAGGCTGTTTGTTTGTGAATCTGGTTTCATAGCCAGCATATAGAGAGACTGGCATATAGTTCAGACAAAAAAAAAAAGCCCCACTTGACTCTTACCAGTCATAGCCCACTGCAAAAGATGTCTCAATTACTGGTGCAATGAGTTTAGCAGCTGTCATGATGTATTCCTCTGCCATGGATTTCCTGAGAAAAAACAAGAAAAAAAAACAACAAAACAAACCCACCAAAAAAAAAACCCAGAAAACAACACACAAACATGTCACCATTTCAAATACATGCATAGAAAAAATAATCAAGTCTTGTTCTTGCTTCTTCCTGTACTTAGGACAATCTTAGAAGATTATCTAACCAGTCCCCTGCTACTGTCCTGTATCTTGATAAAGCTCCCTGTTTTTCTGTTTTCCTTTCACTGCACACTGTAGCTGTATCTACAAAAAAACAAACAACCCATAACACAACACACAAAATACCCTTAAACCACCCAAAAAAAAAACCCCAACAAAAAACAAAACCCCCACAAGCAAGAAAAAAAAACCCCACACCAAAACAATGCTGCAAGTTTTAAGTAATTTGGGGTAGATCTACTTTAGTGCAGTACACTAAACTGAGTGATCCAACCACTTCTTCCAAGCATGCTCTTTTCTAAGAATTACAAGGACACTTTTATAACAAGAGTTGCGGACACCTGAGAAGACTGATAATACTTTTATGAGCTAAAATCCATGGCTTCAGTCAACAAAGAACAGACTCCACCATTACCTCTCACGTTCCATTTGTCCTAAGCTGTCATTTTTAATAGCTTCGATCAGTAGGTTTGTATGTGGATCATCCTGGAGGAAAACAAAGCAATAGCAAATTACAGCAGGATACATGCATTTTAATTATTTTATAGAAAATATGACTAAACATAAATCGATGCAAATTACATAGTCTATAGTGTTACTTATTACATCTCACATTTTAAAAAGCTAGCTTCAGTTTGAAGTAGTTTTCTAACTCCCAAATCTGAAATTTGGCATTACAACTACTTTAATCTTGTTTTCCTGCTCATGTATGTGGTCATAACTCACATTAGGGTTGTTACTAGGTGTAGTTAATGTCATGTGTATCAGACTGGGAAGGCTGCAAATCACAGTGCGAACACTCACATGCTTAGAAGTAAGAGCAGCCTTAAGCATCTGCTGAACTGCAGCGGTATTTAGCAGGTGAGGACCTGTGCTACATTCTCATCACAATAAATCACAGTCATCTTGTGGTTTCTATCACAGATCTTAGTTATTTCTAAAAGAACTAATGTAAGTATTCTGTGAGCCACCCCTTCCTCATTTATTGAGGATAGATCATAGATTTATACAAAATAAAAACCAGAAAGAAACTTTGTGATCTCTTCTAAACCTCTTCATAACAAAATACATAACTTGGAATCTCAAAGCTATAGCTTGCCTATCCTTATAAAGAACTTCTACAGTCTAAAGCCTTTCTTCCAATGGATAAATCTTATGTAGTCTTCAATTAATTTAAGTGTTTGATCACCCTTACTGTTACATAACTTCTAATAGAAAAAATTTTATAGATATACACTATATATTAACATATAAGAAAATCTATGAATATTAATATACATACTACATCTATTAAACTTTATTTGCTTACGCTAGGACAATAGGAAGCAACAGCTACTCTTAAGCTGCAAATAGTTTGAAGACTAATTATATCTTTGATCTTTAGGACTGAAAATGGAAGCTTTGCATCACTGAGAAAAAAAGAAAGATAGTTAAGAGAATATGGAGGGCTTGACTCCATCTTTCCATAGAGGACCACTCTAAGAGGGACCCTAAACCTATTAATTATGTTTTCTTGTCTTTACCATCATGAGCTGCTGGTTTCATGGTACAAAGGAACATCGGTTTCCAGCCAAGTCTAACAAACTAAAATAAGCACCTGTGAACTTGAATGGAACTTTCTTCTGTAAGATAACACTATGGTATTTCGAGTTTATTAACATTCATTTTGTGATAACTTGCATTAATTCACTTATTGCTTTGCTCCCTTTATTTTAACTTATAAATATTTTATTAAAATTTTATATGAATAAAGGAAGTAAAGCAGTAAGAGAGCTACGTAAGTCAGCCCAGATGAATTTCAACAAACTCATTATGAAGACAGTTGTGTGGTGTGAGTTTTATGTATATAATTTTTATCTTTTGAAGAAAAAAGGATTTGAATGTTCCCAGCATTATTTTACACTTCTGAGCAGTACTGCCACACTAAGTTCATGCTAGTAAAAAAAAATGTTATTTTAGATACATAAATACACAGCGACTTACATATTCAGTACAGTCCAAGCATTCAATGTCTCTCCCTCTTTCTGCCAATTTACCATATAAAGACACAGTTTGTTTTATTCAAACATACATAGTTTAATTTTGTTCAAACTTACACTTGGTGAAATGTATTTGTCATCATAATTCACTTCGCAGGGAACTGCAACCAGTTTTTGGAAGGCATTTTTCATTTGCTTACAGTTTCCAATAGCAAAATAACACAGGATCAAGTTGAAGCCTGTCTTCAGATTTGGGGACATGCTCATTATAAATTCAAATGAAGAAATGGCATCAATGTATTGGCCAGTTTTAATAAATGCAACTCCAATATTTTCCATTATTTTAATCCTAAGTAAAGAAATCAGGATTAGGTTATATTTTTAGCTATCAAATTATACTGTATCCAAAACTTGTACTCAGAACTATGCCTGCTAGCAGTAACTCACCTCATCTCTTTGTGGACACTAGGAATCTGGTCTAGAGCCATACGGTAGAATTTAATAGCTTTGGAATAGTTCTGTTGTTTTAAATATATATTTCCCATATTGACCTTCAGTCTACCTATCAAAAGAGGTCAATGAGTTACAGCCTTTTAAAACATAATTACAACATTCTTACATTGTTTCAAAGTGACAGACTAGAACAACTTAACAAATTTGCCTTCATTATAGGGTACCAGTGTTCCTTTAAAGAAGCACTGCACAGAACAGCCTCTTGTGAATTTTCACCCAGAGGGAGACACAGTAATGAAACCTGGAAAAGAACTGTGTTCTGATTTTGATTGTGAATTAAGTGATGTGGTAGAGATTATTTATAGTGCTCTCCAGAAGACAGCTGCAAACGAGCATCTCTGAGAAAAGTGCACCATGGGAGTCTCAAAGATGCGCAAAATACTAAAAGCTTTCAGAAGATGAAAGCGGAGTCAAAAGAGAAAAAAAAAAAATAGTATTTGAGCACACAATATAGTGTGTGGTGTTAGAAAATTATGTGTCTTTAGGTTTATCTTAGCCTATGGAAAGGAAAGACTTCATGACTTTAAGAATAAAACCACATTAAATTATACTAAATCAGAGATTATGAGTGTCTGTCATCCACTTTGATAGATATAAGAGCTAAGATCTCTGTGAGTCAACACCATGCAGACAAAGTCGTCATGTTGAATGTCTGACTACCAGTTCTAATCCACTTTGAAACGTAACTTACCTCCACTGGTGAACAACTTGTTCTTCACTATAACTTGGTAACTATTCAGTGCTTCAGCATACATTCCATTAGCAGCATACTGACAGGCCAGATTTAAAAGAACCTACAGAAAAACGCAATTATAGGTACAAGAAAATATGTTGTTCTCTCAACAGTAATAAACATGACTCCGAATGTGGAAAATGGTCCTACTATCCGTGGTCACTCAGTTTATGAAGAAAGAATTTTTTTCAAACTGCTGTTTCAAATCAGAAGTTCTGCTTGTGTCTGGTAAAATATCTCTGCATTTTTTAACCCAGCTTTACTCTGACCTTCACCATAAAATGAATTACTATGTCTGCCTAATTCTGTGCATTCATTATTAACAATTGTCCCTAGAGCACTACCTGCAGTACAACTTTAAATTCTCCCTAAGTATTTTTATGTATGGTGTATTCTTTTCTTAAAAATGTCTACTATTCATTTGAAAACCAGGATGTAGATCTATATACCTGCTTTAAGATTCAGGATTTAAGAATATTACTATATCCTATTTCATATAATTTATTTTCTGTCACTTTATGGCTCAAGTTAAATGCAGTGGCTGATCTCTCCTTCTCTTGTCATGTTACAGTTTCTAGACTATTTATTTTTGAAGTACAGGATTTACGTCTGTTATATTTTGGTATACATGTTTTGCATTTGAGTAGATAACTGGAACAGGTATTCATGGGCATCCTTCTTCCCTTAATGTTGACTACATGGTTTCTCTGGTAGTTGAGATTGCAGGGGCATAGACTCGATCTAAATGGATCTTTGCAATCTAATGATAACTCTTTAATTTCAAGAAGTCATTCACTTTATCTTCATAAACTTCTCCTACCCCCAAATGTAAACTGTACCCTATCTGGTACGCTGCTAGGAGCATTACAGCAAACAAACACTCAGCAAACACTGAAACATCTCTTCAGGAAACATTTTTTACCAAGACCTTTCATTCACTGAAGATTTCTAAGCACTTACTGAGTAAGTGAGGTCTAAGTTTTCTGGAGAAGCAACTTGTTCACGTTGTCTCACCAATACTCTTTCCTTTCTCCCGGCCTCTCTTGCTTTTTCCAGAGCCTTAAATAAAACACTAGAATATAAGCAATGCCTTGAATGAACCCAAAGCAAGTATGAAAAGAATATACTCCTGTCTATTTTCTTCAGATGCACAGACTATACCCAATGCCTGAAAAGTAGCAAAATAACGCAGAGAAAGGTGCTGATTAGCAATAAGGAGACATACAGTTGTCTAAGTCTGCTTAGCTGGCTAATGTTAGACAAGTATAGTCACAACTATATACACCATAATAACTAGATCATGGTGACCCTAGAAGATTATTTTACTTGTTTTAATCATAGAAAGCACACACAAACATTAAACAACCAAGCCCACACCCTCATCTCCATGCTCCCCCAAAAAAAAAGGAGCACTTGGGCTTGGCATGTTTCCTTAGTTGCAGAATCCCAGTGCATGCAGGTGTTGGAAAGAAGAAAGTGAAGGCAGGAAGTGAACTTCCATGTTATGCAAATGGAGGCTGTACATGTACTTTGACTAATTGGTAAATTGCTTCCCTTTTTTTATCTATCCACAAGTGGTATTTCACATGTATGTTTACAATCAGAGTAATTCCAAAATAATTATTTTATCCAATAGTAATCTTCTGCAGATTGGTGTCAAGACCCTTTGTACAAATAATGCTATGGGTCTGCATGTGCCAATAGCAGTCCTGTTTGCCTCTGTAGGCATGCAATGTTCAAGAAAGTAATGGCTAGCACTACTGCTATTTGGAAGGTAGCAGTGAAGGAACTACTTCACTGCTATCAACAATAGCTTGATTCTTAGTCTTTATGATAGAAAGCAAGTCCAACTTGACTGTTTCATAGATAATGAGCTGGCAACTTTGATAGCAGGAAAATTGATATTCTGCCTACTCCCACAGAGCCCATAGATTAGACTGGCCAAATCTGTGCCACTATGACTAACTGATCAGACCCATCTGAAGAGGTCAGTGGGGTTATGGGGAAGAGAGCTTTTCTAGCACTGAAATCTTAATGAATATATACACAAGAAATACAGCTCCTACCTTTCTTTTTTTGACAACACAAGGTACCACTGGATTATAAATTACAATTCAGATGATTTAATAATTTGAAACTTTGAACCCAAGTCAGTTTGAAACATCTATTTATATAAATTGTTCTTCCCATAATAGCAAAACTGAAATCCAGAAAAATTACCAATTTCAAGTCTCCACAGCTGTTGGCAATGCAGCTTTCTTCAACCAGTTCATTCACTTTTTTTTCCAACTGCCTAATCTTCTCTTCTGCACTAAAATAACAATAAGAGGATTAACACCAGTAATGTAACTGCACACACTAAGCTTTTACACAGGATATTCTCAAAATAACACAGTGATGTATCACATAACACAGCCAACCAGTTCTCCCATCAAAGAAAATATGTGAAATTATGCCCAGAGAAGATCCTCCAAAGATATTACATACACACTTTCAATCTGAAAACAGACACAAGAAAAAAATTAAACCTCTTATGAGAATAAGACAGACAAGCAAATTCCATGGACTCAATTTGTTCAGAAGTAATGACAGAACAAACATGGGCCGGTAAACCTTTCAAATCCAACACTTAGTGAAATGAAATATTGTATAAAGGGCAATTCTTTGAACTTTCATTTGCATAGATAACTTTAAAGTAAAACTTGCAAATGGAGATTTTATTAAAAAGTTGTTATTTATCTGGAATTTTTTCTCAGTTAAATAACTGACCATTTCAGTAGGATTCCCTGTTCCTATATAGCCATATTTGAGGAGTACAACTCCTGTACTGAAAAGCTCAATGACTTGATCTGACTGCACTCAGAACATTTGCATTGGCACCAGCCTGCAAGTTTTACCTCAAGTGCTAAGGTTAGAGTGAAACAGGAGAAACAGCACACAAATTCTCCCAAGGTCTTCCTAGAGAACTGCAAGAACTATGGTGTTCACATACTTTTCCATTATCCTCTGCAATTCTACATAAGTATCACAGCGACTGTGTGGCAACAACTATGTCCAGGCTGCTGAGCTAAAGTCAGATCCAGAAGTCACTGGAATTGGACATTCCTGAAAGTCAGGGCCATTGAGTCAGCTAACCACATGCATAAATGTCTGTGCCACTGTTTCACTTACTTAAGAATATGGCTTCTCGAAGTTCCATAACTGTCTGGATGTGAATGGATGTGAAAACATGGATGTGAAATTCTAATTCTACCCATAGTTGATTTTTTGTTGCTGTTAATGCTCTGAAATAATTTAATGCAAGACTGAACAAACCTGTCTGCATTTTTTGCTTCCAGAGGTGGAACGGGACCTCTTCCCTGACCAAGAGGATCAAATGGAGAACCTGCACAATAAAAAGAGTACTGAAAACTGTAAAATAACATCTCCCTCTGGCAGCTGGCGATTTCTACAAACCATACCTCTCATAGCTGCCCTAGTATAACCTGCAGCACGCACTGCTGTCATTGGTCGAGCAACACCGTCCTTAAATAAAGAGGAAGACATATTAAAATAATCCTCCTAAAAATAGACTGTGGACAGAAGAGACATCAGTTACATATTACAAAACCTTTAAATACAAAAATCAGTTGTTACCACCTCAGTAAACTGAGTATTTTTAAAATGTTTTTATTTCTCAAATATTATACATTGTAACTGTCTGCAATGTAGAGGAGCAAACATTATCAGGAAACTGCAACAAGGGAACACATTACTTTATGTCAATTTTATATGTATTCAGAATACTTTATTTCAAACATCCTTAATTTTTAGAACATTCTTAAAAACTGTTGCTCTTGAGATCTGTAATGTACTCCAGCCTACTGCCACACTGTTTCAGAACTCAGTTGCTTTTTTTCATTTTTATTGACAATAAAGAGAATCCTACAAGACTATGGATCAAATGTTTTACTTGATCTAAACTGAGAGGCACAAGCCAACCAGTTTTTGGTATTTGTAACTTATTACTAGACAGTGCCTTACAACACAACAGTGGCTGAACCCACTCCACACTAGTTTATTAAACTTACCTGTCAGGACACTGAGTGCACTAGTAAAGACCTTAACAGCCAGGACCAGACTCACAGGGGTCCTCACGCCACACACCATACCTACACGTCCAGGAACTTTGCCTAATCTCAACCCTGATCCCTCAGCCCCTGCCCAAGCTTTGCTGGAAGACTACTTATTTCCACATCAGCCACTCCTACGCATGGCCAGAGAGTCCCCCAATGCAGATTTCAACCTGACCTCCTGGACTGACCTTAGCCTTGCCTTGTCACTATGGATCTGACCAGTGATCATTGGTCCTAACCCTAGCCTATACACTGACTTTTTTGCTTGACCTTGGACCTGCTTCATCACCATGCTACTGTGTTACGTTCTGGACTTTTGGTTGGACACTGACACCATTTCTGGGTGGACCTTACTTGCCTAGCTCAAGTGTTGTGGAACTGGGTCCTACCTGGTGAGGTCCCTGCACTGCTGGCTATGCAACTTTCACCCAGGCTTCTGGCTTGCCTTCCTTCAGGGAGTAGCTCTACTCTTGATTCTCCCTGATAATTCCTGTTTACCTCTTGGGCTGACACAAAAGAATATAGTGACTGTATATATAGTTAACATTAAGTCAATATACTTAAAGGTGTTAGTGGGAAAGTCACTGGTAAATTGCAGCAGATTCTTATTAGAGTATAAGTACCCAAGAAAAACATGAAAGCCAGAATGTATCTCTTTCCTATTTCAACGGAAAAAATATTCACTGCATGTCAGTAAATGTTAAAAACACTACACTGGTATTGCTTCCAATCCTGTTCTCAAATAAAATACTCATCACAAACATCACATTTTCTGACAGTAAGAAAAAGGACTAATTAAACACTGTAATAATCGGGTATTATTTCAATAACCTTTTTAATACTTGTATTAAACCCAAACATTTAACAGAAAACTTCACTGTTCCAAATCAATATAAATTGCAAATATTGAAACTTTTTACCTGTATAGCTCCTGTCACTGGTCTTCCCATAGATGAAGTTAAGGTTGCCTTTGACTATAAAAATAAGTAAATTGTTTGAAACTAGCATTCACAAAGGATTAGAAAGCTGTAAAGGCTATGTATGGTCTTCTCAATATTGAGTTTTAGAAGTCCATTTAACTCTCACGTAAGTTCATAAAAAAGTTCCCATTTATGTTATCCACATGCAATATACTGCCAGTGCCTGGCAGACTTAAAAGATGTTGAGCACTTCCATTAGCACAAATTAACAATATTGGTTTTTTATATGTCCAGATATTTGTCAGACCTTTTAAAAAATTTATACAGAAATTTATCCAAGGCAGCAGTACTTTGCATTATTAAATTACTGAAATTACTACCTTTAAATTAAACAAGTAATCTATACAAAATATATTGGTAAGATTCTCAGGACATCTTATAAGATATTAATACTAGGACAGACTTTAAGTCATACTTTCATGAAAATTTATTTTACAGTAAATACAGATATACTTTAAAATTGCCAATGAATATTTTTTCCCATTAGCTGACATGCCACATACTGTCCCTCTGTAGTTGTGTTAAAATCATAAATAAACATGAAATACTTAGTAGTAAGAGCTAAAGACTGCTATAAATATACAATGCAAACAGACAAAAATGAAGGTTTTCAGGCCGTGAAAAAGTATTCCCCTAATTCCCACTCAGATTCACTATTTTACCCACTATCCATCACACATCATGACTGAGTTCTGTTTTTCCTGCTAAGGCTGAATCTGTATTAACAATGACTTTAACGCAGGAGAAGCAAATCTGCAGAGTGAAACAGGCAGTACTGTGAAGTGGACAATGCTTTGGAGGTTTCTGGCTCTACTACTGCAGATGACCTCAATCTTTATTATCCTTAGGAGATGACTTCTTGTGCACTCCTTTAAGAAGACAGCTTTTCCTGTTACAGTGTGTTACTGCACAAGACATCTGCAAACACAACTGCTAAGAAAAAGCAGACTTAAAAAGGAATATATCCAGAGCAGATAACAGAAGGTTCAAAGTAAAGTTTGTATTTCAGTAACAGAATTCAGGTGTTCTTGAAGTTGCTAGCCAGCTAACTTGCATAAGCGATCTAAAGCAATGTGATGTTCCTTCTTGTCATAAAATTTACAAGAATTTAAGAGCACAGTCTTTTCAAACTTGACTGAGACTGCCTAACAGGTTTAAAATCTATTGGGATAAGGGATAGTGGATATACCACTAGTGTATAACTTCTATTTCCACAACAAACCAGGTTAATGAGCTAGTTATTTAAGAGTTACAATAGATTAAGTATATCAAAGTATATAACCAACTTTTCCTGATTAAACTAGAGATGATTTCAAAGCCCACATTTTTTAAGACTTAATTTCACCTTAACTTCCAGACAACTTTCCTGCAACAAAACCAGTTTAGTATCTTGGAATCTACTGCCTTACACAGTACAGAAGTTGATATGCAGTATGGTTTGGGAGGAAAAAAAAATTAAAATAAAAATTAAAAAAATCAGTGACCATGCCTTGTAATGACCAACTTGTAACTCTACAAGTGTAGAGCTGCAAATGAATTAAAATCAATGAATACATGTGGCTCACTTGAAGGAAGTATTTATATAAAAAGAGCTCAATTTGTGCAAGGCATTTCTGGTAAATGCCTCATTTTCATTAAGAACACAACAGAACAAAAACCTACCCCAAATCCAGTAGCTAAAGGTCTTGAAGTTGGTGTACCAAGAATTTTGGCTGTCCCCTGGGTGGGGAAAAAAAACAATCAAAGAAACACCACCAATTAACAACCATATATGTTAATTTTCAGTCTTTCTATATAGTTTCTATAGTGAATTCATAGAAATAATGCTTCCATTATTATAGAACGGATTTTCATTTTACCAACAGATTATTCTGGCAAAGAAGCAATATTAATCAGACAGTTCTGGCTCTTCTTTAGACATATAGCATATACTTATAAAGTTTGCACCTGCACTTTAGATTTGGTTTTGAAAACTGATGTGATATTAAATCAGAGCTAAATGAAAATAAAGAATAATGTAAATTACATGAATATGAAGAAAAAAAATCAGAATAATCACACATGGTTTTCTAAATCCCACTGTTCAGTATGCATCTCAGCCTCTTAACTGTATGTCAGAGCTACTAATTCTATATATAGAATATTAAACAAAGTCCTTTCAAAATGTATTGCTTTGCTTTTTAACAAGGTTTTATCTCATTTTATCAAACAAGAATACGTATTTTTAATGAAAGTTCCTTGTTTGCTCTAGCTTACTCCCTGAACTTAACAGAAGTCATGCTCTGCTATTTTTTTACTTATTTTTCATATAAATAACTGAAGTCTGTATCGTCATGTTAGTAGTAGACAAAAAAAGTTAACAGGTTCCCAAAATAAGTTTGTATCAGTGTCAAAGTTTTAGCTAGCCCTCTAGAAAAGGTCTCCTCTCTTGCAATGTTTTTTAAAAGGTACTTACAGGGGGTCTTCTACCATGACTCGTTCTTGCTGCCTGTTGAAAAGCTACATCATTTTCTAAATCCTAGGAAAAAAAAAAAAAATACACCTTTTTAAAACCCCCAACAGCCAAAGCCACAGCTCCAGAACCTTAGGACTACTGAAAGCAGATAGGTAAAAAACCAACTCTTCTTCCAAAAATACCTGACCTGAAAATAACTGAATGACAGGTTTTACTGACAATATATGTTATTTTGTCTACTTTTTTTTGTATTTTGGATCATTGAATGTAAAACCTCATTATTCTCTGAAAAATGAAAACACACTGAAGAATCAGAGCTTAAGTGATGAAATGTAACATTTTATTTCCATCCAAAATCTTACTACTAGCACTATTTCTACATTTTAATATTAACATCTGTCATGCAAACACATTAAGAGATCTCATGTCTCAGGTCACACTGAATTTAGCACTAGGATCTCACACAAGATGCCAAGTCTTGCCAGACTGGCCCTGCTTTGAGCACAGTAGTGGGTTTGGACTGAATGACTCCCCTGATGTTCCAATTCCATTACACCAGCAGTTACCAGGAAGTGGTCTGCAGGGTTACCTTAAGTTATCCCAGATGCTCTACTGAGAGACTGATGACCTACTGACCAGTTAAATAGCCTCTTGTCACAAAACTTGCTGCTGCACACTGTCTGGGAAACATCACATCAAAAGCATCTGAATGTAAATATGGCCTTCAAATAACTAGGATTTTATACTTCATAAATTCTAACCATTATAGTATGTTAGATCTGCTATAAAGATATACACAGGTATTTTGCTGGAATGGAAAACTATCAAAGAAATAACTATTTAAGACTTGTGAAACTTTATATATTTTTTGCTAAATAAAGAAAATTTCACTTCAAAGTAGTTAGTACACTTCTACATTACTATACCCCACATGTCCTTATCTTGTACTTAGAAGGTAAAATCCTATGTATGGGAAAGGTGGAAAACAGCAAGTATTTTTACCTCTGTGTCAAACGTGGGATTATAATCATTGTAGCCAGAATACAGATCATCTTCATCAGCATCAGGAGCCAGATGCACATTTTGCATCATTTTTCTGTGAAACATTTAACATGCCAAGTATCGTCTCAGTGGTTTTATATAAAGCTTTTAAAATGTGAAATAGAAATAGTAATCAGGCTTGCAAGTTCAAAAGAGTACAAACTGCATTTCAATTTTTAATTGCTGTCTTTGAAATTAAAAATAAGTTATGACTAGTCATAACAACTAGGATTTACCTATACAAAGTATTAAATGGCACCGTTTCATACAACTATATTTTGCTAGGTCACAAAAATTGTCTTAAAGATATTTATCACTAAAACTGAATCATCATAACAAATAACTATTACTTTTAGAATAGTATCTTTACATTCTCAGATAATTCAGATTTAAGATAATTCTCTAGTATCCTAAAGTTTGCCTTCTTTATTGGGCCATAATAGTCTAATGAAACACATCTCTTCCAGCTTCATATATTAATTCCTTCCTTCATCTGTTCTTACATGAGCACAGACACAGCTATTCTCTATAGACAACATTCTTCATATAATTTTCCCATTTCCATTCAAATATTTTTTAAGAACTAGAATTCCAGGAGCCTGGGTTCCAACGTCTTTCTTCGCAAATACTTCAGTGTGCTACAAAATAAGCTAATATAGCTGCATTCACCTTGTGGTCTTTCCACCACTGAGGACACTAAGGAGGTCTCTCTGACTGGCTACCTATTTTCATTAAAATCTTAAGAAGACAACATTTGGTTTCATCTAGAATATGAAACACATGCCCTGTAGCAAGCGAGCCTTAGCCAGGACGAAGCGCAGCGCACCCCACCGCGGACCGGTTCCACTGCAGCATCCCCCTTGAACGGGGCCTACTCTAAGCTTACGCGGTGCCACCGCGGAACAAAACCGAATCTCTCCTGAACGCGGGTTTCCTCGGTCGGCGCTGAAAGCGGGGGACGGCGGCGATATGCCTCACGGCGGCTCCGCCTTCTCGAGGGTGGCGGAGGGGTGGCGAGAGGCTCAGCGAACTAGTGCGACGGTACCAACGCGATGGTGCCAACAACCCCGCCCGAACACGGCATACGCGGCCTGGTCTCAGGTCAGCCGCGGCCCGCCCTCTCCGCACCGGAGGCCACCGAGCCCGGCCCGGCTGCGTTGCTAGGGGTACGCCGGCGGACGCTATCCCATAATGCACCGCCCGGGCGGTCCCAGGATAGCGGAGCACAGCGCAGCCCAGAGCCGAGGTCGAGAGTACCCGCGGGATTGGCGCATGCGCAGAGCAACGGCCGAAGCTTTTTTCCTGCGTGTGTCCCCTGCTGGCAAATGGAAGTCTCCTTGTGCTGAGGAATAAAAGTGGTATCACATGATAGATGTGCAAACAAATTTTGTTTCCCCCTATGCTTTCTTCATCTTCTGGAAAAGGAACACAAAACTACTGGTAAGGACGGGAGGCTTATCAGACTGCCTACCTTTAGTCCACAGGACGAAGAAAACATAAATGGAAAAAAGATCTCTTGTTTGCTAGACACTGCTTCGATGTGTGCAAATAAAACTGTGTGAGGTGGATATTTACTGACTGTAAGGGGAAAATTATTAGGATAAATGAGTTTCTGCAATATCAAATAGGCAACAATTAAAATTCAAAATGGGGAGGGGGGGAATTCTAGACTTCTCCATAATAGGAAATTTAGAATTACAGAATCACAGAATAATTCATGCTCAAAAGGAGCTCAGGAAATCTCTCCCATCCTAGTTTAAATGTCTTTGTGTCTCTTCCCAAGAGTAAAACCAACCTGCTGACATTTTATGGTTAAAATTATATTTTAGGCTATAGATTTGCTATCATGAGAGTACAGCAAATCTGCTGTCATAAGGTAAATGGCTTTTTGCACAGTTGTCAGACCTTGTGTTCAAGCACACGGCCCATAACTGAGTGTACTTCAGTGCATGTTTCTCAAGCTCCAGATTATTGCTGGCATGTGCCCTTTGGAGTGTGGTAGGGCTGCACCTTAGGCACATCTCTTGGGCAGGAGCCAGCACCTCCAAGCAGAGACCTCATAGCAGAGACCTCATCACAGCCACCACTCACGTTCAGGGTACTCAGCCACACCATTTTCTCCACTGAGATGAGAAATCCACTCTTGAAAATGAAAAGCTCAATAAAAAAAAAAAAGTCAGGAAAGCTTCCCATATGCCATAGTCTCTGAAAATAAATAAAAGAAATCATCTTTTAGATGATTAAAAAAAAAGATGATTCCTACAACCATTTCTATCACATTCTTTAAGCTGATATTTTGGAACTCCTGACAAGTGTCAGCTGATTTGCCCACAGAAAAACACTATACTCAGGAAAGGTTTCCCATGCCTAAATGGGAAACAGATTGGAGCATGGATCTCTGAACATGCCTGCAGCATTTTGGGGAGAGAAAATATTTTACAAGACAATTGTAACCTACCCCTATTGCATTATGCTAATGGTATAAGAAAGCTGCAAAGACAATATACAGTGCAGAGTCAATCAGAACAGCCTTTTTATGGTCAGGGTTTGTGAGCATTATGCAATGTCAGGACCTGCCGTTTTAGCCTCAAAGTGCTTTCTGAAGAGATAAGGCACAGAGGATATGAGTGAAAGGTCCTTCTATTCTGGCTCCCAACCAGAGAAACAAAGATAACGCAAAGAAGTATTAAGACATTATCACTTCTTGCATTAACCTGTTAACGTTCCATGCATGAACCACTTTCACACAGAACTTCAGACTTGAGACTTTTGAACATGAGAATCATTATACCTGAAATTTCTGGATTACAAGTACTTTGCAGAATAACAGACTTATGGTGGGAAAAAAATTCAGGTGACCTACTTGATGAACTCCAGCATAAGAAATATATATATATACATTTCTAGCCCCCTTTTTTGCCTGCAACTCCTCACATGTGATTGAGCCTATGGTTTTTAGATTTTTCTGATTGTCCTCAGACAATCATATGTCACATTCATATATACCTGAGCAGCAGGTACAATTCTGTAGCAAGAGTCTTAGCTCTGCTACTCAGCTTGTCAGTGGGCATACTGGTGCTTAGCATATTCTGATGTTTCAGCCCAATTATCTAGAGCAGTGGAAAGAAGGCACTATGGTATGGAGATATGATAAGGAGACAGTGCATCTATCTTATAAATGAAATGGTGCTGAGGCACCACTGGAATCTTATCATGTTCATTTCATCAGACTTTCTTACCCTCCAAACATGGGTGTATACATTCAAATCAGCTGTTAGAAGTGGTCCCTGACCATATACTGGGAATTGTTCGAGAGAATGATAATTAGCTAACACTATAATGGGCTATTTTGATGCCAGAGACAGTCAACTCCAGGGCCTGGTCCAGCCCCTGGCAATGCTGCATGTTGCCCACACTGCCGGAGTGTGTACCAGGGGCCAGGATCTTAGGAAGACTCCCTGGCCTGGCTCCTTAGGCCTCCCAGTCCAGCTACTACTTCTGATGTCCTTGCAACATCGTGAGGGTCTCATCAGACTCTATTTGTTTCCAAAGGCCGTGTCAATCTAAAATTCTAGGTGGTCTTTGTTTGTATGTTTTCCTGGTGCTATGAAGTATAAATAGACCTTAATGCATGAAGATTTAACAAACCCCAATAATCTCAGGATCCTTTGTGGCAATGTGGGACCTTACTCATGGGTTGTGATTGTAAGACATCTTCTAACAAGATCATGCTACAGGGAGAAACCCATATGATGTTAATGTCTTTACTGGTTTTGGCTAAATTCAGAAGGCAACCTGGAACGCAAAGCTGCCAAAAAAAACCAAAACAAAACACCAAACCCCCAAAAATAGTATACAGCCCAAGCAATGTTGTATGCTGTGAATTCCTGATCATTTTAATTTGGATTAAGCCAGCACTGTCATTACATGAAGCAGTCCCATTCTTTTCCCACCTTCTCAGTCCTCTGACTGGCATCAAGCTAGATGCTTGTGCAATTGAAGTAAAATGCAGATCTCATCAAGTGTTTCTGCAGTTACCTTTCAATAAATCAGGTACCGGATCCAGTAAATGCAGTGAAAACTTATGGCACATTAAGGAGACCATGAAGCTATACTCTTAAACAGTAGAAATCACTTTGCCTTTCAATGCATGGTGCATCTGTTTTTTTTTCCATCAATAACACTGCAAATAAGGACTCAGACAAACTGTTCCAGGACCTACTAACTTGGGTTCAGGGGTTACTGGCCACTGACTGCCTGTTACAATCTCTGTTAGTGTGTACCTTACCCTTGCTCTGGCAGTTGAACTGTTCACCTGATCAGCCGTGAATTGGTGTTTTTAGAAAATGTTCTGAATTGAAAAAGTAATTCTCCCATTACAATCTTTAAAAAGTATTTTTCTAGCATTGAATTCTGGACTGACCAGCTGTTCATCATATTCTACTGTCACCCTTCTGTTAGCTTGACTGTCACAAACAGTGAAGCTGCCTTTAACTAGTCCCTGAGAAACTAACATCTTGTCAGCATACCTCTAAAAATTACTGAAGGGAAAGCAATACAGAACACATTTAAAATTAAAGCCTTCCCAATACTTAATCTTTCAAAATATTTTCTTTTTTTTTTTTTTTTAGTTGAAAATGTAAGAATTGAGAGGTAACTGAACTTAATGGTTACAATTCAAATTAAAAAAATTAAAGCCTCAGATCATGCTCCTCCTGTACTTGGAAATTCAAACTTCAACTCTATTATTTTGCTGACTGGTTTATGTTAGAGCCTTGATACTCTGAGCTTATTTATCTCATCAACAGAGCCATATTGCATATTACTTTCCTCTGTTACCAAGTGTATGAACAGCATGGGTATTACGATATTTATATATTAGCTTGTTATTTATGTGCTTTTAAAAACACACCTCTATAGCACTTTTTTAACATAAAGTTGTCCAAGTTAATAATGTTTTCTAAGATAGTAATTTAAAGAAACCTTTTTTCTCTTTTGGGAGATTTAAAAATTGGTTTTATATTTGTGATCTTTGAGTTGGTGTGCCTAAACATATAAATTACATTAAAATAGTTCAAGTTAGAAAAGAAAGTTTCTAGAGCTACTCTTGATGAAATTTTAAGTACAAGTTTCAGAATGTTTTCAGGGTTAGGTTTTTAATGATGAATTAATTAGGCAAACTATAGAATTATATTGAAAGTTCTTAAAAAACTACTTCAGAACAGTGCTAAAGGCAGAAAATAGTATAGTTCTCTAAACATCATTTTGA